TGCGAGGGGGTAACACTATCCCATACAGACCGAACTGATGGTGGCCACATTTTTGTTGTACTGCCCTCTGACAAGCCAGATGAGAGTTTTAACATTATTTGCGCTATCCACCAAGCCTCGCTGCTACCTCCACAGTGCTGGATTGCAAAAGCACGCCACCTTGCTGTTTGTGCTTCGGTTATTGTCACGTGCTTGAGTGCATGTCTCACGCACGAGGGGGCTGGTTTCAGTACCGGACTCTTGGTTCCCATACAGTGCACGAGAGGTGCTCTTGGATTTGGGCTGGAAAGGAGGGGATTAAAGATAAGCAAAAAGCTTTCGCCCACACAAAGGCAGCCAGGCCAAATCGTGGCACTCGCACCCACTAATCCCCAATGTATTCCATCAAAATATCACTTAATGGAAGCGCTGTCATCTCTTGTACTGGCTGGTAAAAATCTGCGGATATTTTTGTCTGATTCCAAAGGGTTTTTGAGCTTGTGCCAGTGACTGAAATTTGTAGGATTATCTCTGAGCTCATCTCACCTCTGGTAGAGTGTGGCAGGCTGATGTGTTTGTGCATTGTGTGAGCATGTTAACATAATTACAAGGAGCTACTTGGTTTACTTGTATGTATGCTGAACTTCTTTTGCACTGTACGTAGCCAACCGTGCTAATCGGAGGTGCAGGGGATGAACAACAAACTAAACACAAAAGCGGTTTTAAAGAAATTAGTTTTCAATCTATATTTAAAAGTGCATAGCTCCAGTGGCTTTCTAATATCGGAAGGAAGAGCGTTCCAGTTGGCCGCAGAAGCGCATCCGAAAGTGTGCAATGGCTAGCCAAAAGCTGCTGCGAGGATGACCAGAGTTTGCATAATGGTTCATGTTACTTGACGAGATCAGCAAGGTAATGTGGTTCTTTTGTGGCAAGCACTTTGTGCGTAATGAGTGCGACCTTACAATGTATTCGTTAAGCAACCGAAAACCAATGCAGCTCAGCAGGCACTGGACGCATGCGATGCACACAGCATCCTCCTTGGCCCTCGTTGAGTGCTGTACAATTACAGCGAATCCACTGCTGAAAAATGACTCACCCTGGCAACGTTGGTCATGAGGGTTGTTTGACCGTACTTCACAACGCTGTTCAGTGCTAGTTGGTGGGAATAGGGGTGCAAATGACCAGTTCGGGTATTACAGTACAGGCAGTCTCCGATATACGAACGTCCAACTTACGAACATTAGTACTTACGAACGAACCACCATAAGATGTTATTATATTTCACCATTTGACCTGCGAATGTTCGGTCGTACTTACGAACCGTACCGCGGAACTATTTTGTTTGGCGGAGTGATCCTCCGTCAGATGTAATGAGTTCCAGCATCCCGGGTGATGCACGCCCCTTCCGACAAGCAAGCCAGCATAAAGATTCGAGGTAAGTGAAAATACAACAGATTTTTTTTATTTTCGTGTTACTTTATTTTTATTTGCTGCAGTATGTTTTTTTTTACAGTATTACATGGAAATATACTATTTCTTCTAATGTATTAGTTTGGCAATGCTTCCCTTTGAACCATAACACATTTTATAATAATGACCTTGCGTACAATTTACCTGTTAAGTTCCGAGATACGAACAAATCGACTTGTGAACGGATCTCAGGAACGTAATTTACGTATTGTTACACAGTCTTGATCTGAACATGCAGGCTTGTAATATAAGTCGAGCACTGCTTGTACTTTCCGCAAGTGTTCACTGTTGCCAGGAATTGACCTCGCGTCCTCCAGCGTATAGTGCATTGCACCACCGTGCCACTGCTCTACCACCCCACCCACGTTTGGGGTAAAGCGCAGTCCTGCATTAACTTGCTCGCATCACTGACTGTGGAATGGTCTCTGCTGGTGAGCCCCCCTCTCAGAGGATATTTTGGCCTACTTTTGCATGCGTTTGTAAGAGTCGCATTGATGGTACCGTATTGGGTTGGAATTTGTTTTATCCGGCATGGAGATCAGACCTTGTGATGATGTGGCAGAGCAAGTGTCTCACAATTCGATTTAAGAAACTCAGCCGGGAGTCGACTCGCAGTTTGGCACTCTTAATAAAATGAGAACAGTACCTGGTTGTGGGAAGTCAACATTGGTTGACTTGTCACCCAAGATCATGGGATTTTACCACCGACTTAGTTAGGGGCGGGGTGTGGCTTCCTATCTGTTGATGGGCCCTGAACCGCTGGTATAAAATCCACACTCCTTTGGCAGGGGTCATTTTACCCTTTTCGGTGGCCGGGCTTCATAGATGATGTAACTCGCGACAGACGGCAGCGGTCGATTTTGTATGCAAACCTAAGACGGCCGTCGATTTTTTTTTCGAAACCATGTTTGAGGCCTTAAAAGGGCACTTGCTAATGTGTCCACCCAGTCACCATTGACCTGCTCACAACACCGTCATATATCCTACCAATAATTACTTTTGACAGTGGAGTTGACGGTTTAAAGTCTAAAAAAGCTGTGGCACGGGTTGTGAATGTTAATGCTGTATTGGGCGTGGTGCCGTGCGTCTGTAATCCCATCTCTTTTGAGAAAGGGCTGATGGATTGCACAGATTCGTCATGTGCACGATACTTTTTGCGCATCATCCACTCGTGCACATGGGTAATTCCGTCTACTCCGGTTTTCTACCAAATTAATACATTCTCTGTCATGCAGTGGCAGTCAAGGAATGGAACACGTCCGAGCACACAGAGGAGATGAAATTGGTTCATGTGCAGCTACTGGATGAATTGTTGCATCTTAGGATGAGAGGTGGTGACAGCTTTAAGAGGCCTTCGTCCAGCAGTGGAGTGATTGTGGCTGATGATGATGAATGAACTGGCCAAATATTAAAAAGCAAGACTCCCCTGAATGTGAGCATTTAGATTTCAAGTTTTCCTGACTATTTGTAGACCTATGATTATAAAAAGAAAAGAAAAAACATGCCCAAAATAACAGAATATTAATTGAAAACTGTTTACAATGTGCATTTGAGCCAACTCTGACCACACACAAACATAGACACACTCTCCCCTTGCCGTATTCACACGGTTCAATTATTGACTACATTCCACTGCCTTTTAACAGCCTCAGTGGGCAGATGAACTTCAAGTCGGTGTTACCCGAGGCTGTTGTCAAGGGGTCCCCGTGGAAGGAGAGGAAATGGCACCGTTCCGCGACTGCGTCACCCCCGCGTGGGAATGGACTGCTCCGTGACCAGGGCTGCACACTTGTGTGACCTCATTAGTGCTGCTGGGAGTGCCCAGCGGGACGGGGTGGGGGGGTGCATGTGCCTCTGAGCATGTGCCTAATTTTCTTTTTTGCTGTGGGGCTCATTTAATATTAATTTCGTCTCCCGAATTCATTAGCACCTTCTTTCCTCTGCCCTTTACCAAACAATCAGGTGTGATTTAGACGGAGCCAGGAGACGGCAGGTCAGGGGAGTTACGGGGGTGTCGTTCCGTGCAGCCATTGGTGACTGAACTGAGACCCCAGACTCGCCACGATTGAGCACACGGTGCAGCTAGGGGTTGGGCTGGACTGTGGCTGTGGTCCACGTATTCGTACAAGTCCCAGGAGGTGGCCAAGTAACTCGGATGTCGGAGCGCTGAGTTGGCACCGCTGACCCCTTGGGTTCGAATACAGGCAGCCTCCTGTGATTTAACCGGTTTGTCAAGTGTAGTGAGCAGATGGTCTGGGTCCCAAGTGACTCAACAAAAAACCCCATCCATTATTCTGTTCCTCCGAGAGAGATTTTCGTTTTCATTGTGAAGTCACGCCACCCCTACCCTGACTGTCCCCGCCCACCCACTACCCCTGCTTGCAGGAATGACCCGGGGCAGCTCGGCTGATGCGCTGCAAACTACTGTCCTCTCACCGATCAACTCGGTGGCAAAGGATTGTCCTCCGGCCTGGTCCGGGAGCTCGTACACGAATTGTGCTAGTTGCATAATTAAATAACGCAATGCGCGTTGTAACAGGAACTCTGAAACTCGCACCATCACACCAATCCCATGGCATTTCTGTTCTCGTGAACGTTCTGCCAGAACACTGGCGCAGATGTAGCAGGCCTGCTGTGGAAGTGCTGCCCTCTACATGTGACCCAGGGGTCACTTGAAATGATCTCGGATGTAGCTCTTGTGATATTTGCTTCCCAATTGAGTATTTTACCTGCAAGCTATTAATTTGGGAAACTCATAGCAACATCGCCTCCTACTATGAAACTAGAGCTCCCTCTCTTGATAGCCTTGCGGTGCAGGAATGGCACCAGTACCAAATGTACAGTACTAATGATTGTATTTGCTTGAAAGGTTGTGTAGTGGAAACATGCTGTTTATTCATTAACTGCTCTTCATTACCAGCAACGTGAGTTTGACTCCTCGCCATTAACAACACCATTGACAAGTGATATCTATCTGAACGTGGCCTAGGTCCACTTAGTCTAAACCTCGTACCTCCTTGTGACACCCTTTGCATCGGTTCGGAAAATGACTGTGTATTTTCCCAGGGCGGAGTGGTGGCACAGTGGTTAGCTATCCACTGCTCTGTGGACCCGGGGTCCCGAGTCGTATTGCCGGCCATGACTCAAACATCGGTGGCGTTTTTTATCTGAACCTCACTTTAGCAACCCACAGTGATCAGCATGGTGGCGTATGGTTAAACAACTCCCATGGTGGACACAGCATTGGGAGGCCCTCATCCATCGGTGTATAGATAAAGAAACGAGTTTTTTATGTTTTCTCATGTATTTTCTATTACTGCTGTGGGTATAGAATACATTTTTTAGTGAAGGATTTGCATTTCTACTAAATATGATAGTTCATAATGTACTTTTTTTTACTTTCATTCGTGCGTGCAGCGAACGCACGTACACTTTTATTGTACAGACTTTGTATTATTTTGAATTATAACAACAATAATATTAATTCCTGGCTATTACTGTATCTTTTGTTTCCCCCCCCCCCTCCGCTCCGTTGCTCCCTCTCATTTCAGCTTTTGGGGCGATGGCCGAAACTCTGAACGCCGGCGCCGCTGGAGCCGACAAGGCTGGGCTTGACACCAAGCCCAGAACCACGGAGTTACCACCAGCAGCAGCAGCAGCTACTGGCTATATGGAGATGGGGCAAATGAGTGACTTCGAGATCTTGGCGCATGAGAAAGGCGACGAGTCCGACGTTAGCCCGGCGGGTGTGCGGGTGGAGCTGGAGATGCCCAAAAACTGGACGTGCGACTTTGAGGCCCAGAAGGAGGCTTTCTACCAGGACACCTCGCCGTCCATCTTTCAGGCCGTGTCGACCGGGCACGGCGAACGTTTTGCCACGGCAGGCCTGAGCGAGGTGGATCTGAACAAGGCCGCGGGCAGCCCCCGCAGCGATGAGGAGCCGCAGATCGAATCCTGCGACAGCAGCCCCGCGGACGACATCGTGACGGTGTTCCCCACGCCGCCCTCCCTCTTCACGGAGAGCTCCATCGCTTCTTTTCAGGGTCGGGGCAGCCCCGAAGCAGTGGGGTCTCTGTCCGGCAAGACCAGCCCGTCGGAAGACAAGACGCCTAAAAAAGCGACGTCTCCCGACAAGCCAATGGAAAAGCTCATCTCTCTCGCCGAGGAAAAATATCTGGATACCACTGTTCCGCAAAAGAGGGAGAGCGACGGCCCAAGCGACGGGGAGGTTTTGACGAAGAACCCAAGAAAGGACGAGCGAGCGGAGCCACTGAAGCCACGTGACGCGCACGTGGGCGAGAAACAACCGGTGGTGTACCACCCAGGATACTCCGAGGCGGAAACCATCTCCATCTCGCAGGAGAGCAGCCCGCTGGAGGAGATCAGCCCCATTTCGGAAGAATTCACGGACAAACTGATCGTCGCCAGCGACGAGGTGCAGATGCGACAGCCTTCGACAGAAATGGAGTACTCGATTTCACTGTCCCAGGAGAGCAGTCCCGGAGAAGACTCGAGTCCCGTGACAGGCAACTTGGCCCACGTGTTCCCCAAACCGAGCGCCGCTGCCACCACCGTGCAGCAGCAGCAGCTGGCCGGGATTGATTCCTCCGAGGAGAAGCAAGTCCCAATTGCCAAGAAGGACAACTCCCTGACGTCGTCGTACGTGAGCAGCTCCACCGAGGAGTCCAGCCCTGGTGAGGAAGGAGTACGCGTCGTGGGTGGCGGGAGCAAGCCCGGCGAGAAGGAAGACTTCGTGGAGGAAGTGGCGCCGCAGTCCCACGAGGAGGAGAGATCGCCCCGCAAGACCGACTCGCACGCCGGGGGGGACGGAAAGGATCCGGGTTTCGGCGTGGAGTCCCTGGGGGCGTCGTGGGGCAGCGGAGACGATTGGCCCGCGAGCGAGGGTGTGCGGGCAGCCGAGCCGGTGGCCTCCTCCAAAGGAGACCTGGGCGGGTGTGTGGCTGGCGGCAACGAGGCCGTGGAGCCGCACCTTGGGGGAAAATGTCCCGGAGTGCCGCCCACTCGGGGGGGAGCCGCGGGCGGCGGGCACGCAGAGGGGCCACGCGAGGAGCAGACCGCTGAGGATGCGCACGCAGGTGAACAAGAGTGGGCCACCGCCATCCAGATTTGGTTAGCAACTGGGTGTGTAAATTATGGACTTTGTCCACAAGTACTGGGCAATGTTACACTCCGTGTCATTGAACGTAATGCTGCAGTATTTGCCTTTTGTTTACTCGACAGAGCCCCCTTGCCGAATGTCGAGCTTCACAGGAGAACTCTGCCTGCAATGTTTGGCCAATTTCCATTTGACATTTTCAGTGTGAAATCAAATTTTATTTTTTATTTAACTTTAAAAAAAATATATATCATTTGTGTATGGCATTACCTTGATTTTATAGATTTGTGGCTATTGCTTTTAGTGCTGTATATAAATAATGCAATATAATTCACGGTACATCCAGTGTCTACGATAGCAAGCGTATCTCACGATGCTGTACAGAAGCATGAGTTCATCGCAGGGATCAAAGCTGGTGTGTATAGATGCTGTGCATATTCACCAACCTGCAGTGACCAGCATAGTGAAGTGTGGTCAAGCACCAGCATCACCACGCATTCACTTTTTAAATGTTTAGTTAGCTAGCTGGCTATTGAAAATTGTGCAAGCTGATGCACATTTCTCAGTTTGTTTAAGGGGATTATGGTTGTGTGCTTTCCCTCTTTCCTGTCTGCGTCACGAAGCAGTAGTTTTCACCGTAAAACCTCTTACCATGGTAAACCAAGGGGCAGCTACGCTTATGAAGAGAGGGTCACGTGACGGACCTCTGCCCTGGGTGTGTGTTTGAAGGACGGCGGTGGGTTTTACTTCATTTGCGTATTGTCATCCTTGGGCTGGGTTACACCACAGCAATGGGATTCCGGTGACTCACGACCCCGTGTGGCCGAGGGCCTGTAGACAAAAGCTAAAGGTGATGTGTTTGCGGCCGTGGGTGGTTGCCCCTTGTTTCTGGACTGCGAATGCAGTCATGCTGCTGCATACGTTTTTACGGTTATGCCGTGCGGCTATGCAGTGACGGCAACGCGGTGCAATTTGGAACGCAGTGGCGAATAATAACAATGCCGTGAAATGCACCCTGGATTGGCCAAACAGTCCAATTCCAAAAATTTCACTCGAAATAACTCAATTGGGATTTCACGTAGCAGCAGCGTCACCTCCGACTACCAACAAGAGTTAGGAGACCCGCCAGAGTTTTCCTTGAACGGTCGTAATAATGGTAATGCTAATAACATGTGTTGCTGAGTCTAGAGATGTTTGGAAGGTTCTGCACCATTGACACTTTGAATTTCAGAATGCGGGCTGTAACAGCGAAGGTCAGGTGGCTGCCCACGGCTTATAAATGTGGTCTCATAGAGCAAAGTGTTAATATATATTTATTACAGCTTTGGTAACACATTTGTTTCTTTATCTTTAAATATTAATTCATTTTTCTGCCCTTTCAGTTTGTTTACTTTTTAAAATGGGATATTTGAATGTCATTCCTCGACGTGCGTGTGTTTTCCGGGCCTTCATGAGTAAGCAAGCAAGAAAATAGAAGGTAGATTTTTACTGAGAAGTGTTGCATTATGCCTATTGCCCCCATGGAACAGCCCGGAGCGGTCGTGAGCCCGGCCAGGCCGTCACCCGCTGGCGCGTCGAGCGCACCCACTCACGAGCCAGCGCCTCGGCTGCGCACGTCCGCACGCACGCACGCTGGATCGCAACGTGGTGTAAACAAATGCTTTTGTAGAGATGTTAATGGGGGCGTTTGTGGCTTGATGCTCTTTTCAGGCGCGGCCGCTACGGCATGCTGGCCTGCCGGCTCGCGCGATGCTTTTCACGCCGTGCTTGCGGCGCCTCCTTTGCTGGAGGATGCCACCGCTGGGCCAGGAGTGAGGGCCGTAGCGCGCGTGCAAAGTGACGACGATGAGCCCGTTGAGCCAGAGAAAGGTAAAGGGGAAGCGTTCGACGGTCACCACGCAGAGGAGAAGTTTGCCCCTCCGAAAGCAGACTCCGTCACTGAAAAGGCGCCTGCAGGTAAGAGCGTTGCCGAGGAGGAGGAGGAGGAGGAGGAGGAGGAGGAACGCGAGCACTTGGAAGCTGCCACAAAGGCTGCCATTTGCGCCGCGCAGCAGTCGGCGGCGCGGGAACGCGACTTCGGCTCGGAGCGAGTGTCTGAGGCCACCGGTGTGGACACCGCCGATTCAGATGAGAGGAACGTCGACACCGAAGAGGAAGAGGAGGAGGAGGAGGAGGGAAAAGAGCTCTGGGCAGCGGCTACCGAGCGGGCGGAGACGAGGAGAGCGGTGGAGGGAAGCATGCAGGAGCTGAGCCGGGCCCTGGAGAAGATGAAGGGTGACTCTCGCCTGGCCATTGAGGAGGTCCTGCAGCGGGAGGAGGGGGAGGGGGGCGCCGCAGTGGCTGCCGACACGCGCAAAGCGAATGAGGCCGTCTGCGCGGAGGCCGCGGTGCCTGGGGGCGCCGGACGCCTGCCGGCGGAAGACGCCGGGAACGATTTCCCGCTCCCGGGCAACGCGGCGCGGGCGGTGGGCTCGGTAGCCGTGGAGGCCTCGAGCGTGCAGGTCCCGTTCACCGACATAATCGCCGCCGCTACGGAGGAGGGTTTGACGGAGACACCGGCGTCGGGGCGGACCGTGCGGAGCGTTTGCCCGGTCGCCCCGACCGAGAGCCACGTGGAGGACAAATCCGCGGTGGGGAAGCCGGTGACTCGGCAAGAGGAGACTGCTTTTGAGAAGACGCGGGAGGTGAATTTAGGGGGCTCTGACATTGAAAACATGGACCGAGCGGGCGGTGAACTGAAACGGCGGCGCGAACAGCAGGAGGAGACTTCGGTGGCCGTGAAGGACGACGCCTCGAGCTCCCTCACGGAGGCCACGGCGCAGAACCTGGAGAACTGTGCTCGTGCGGCGGCGGCGGCGATCATCGTCGGCCACGAGGTGGGGCGAGGAGGAGGCCCCCTCGAGTGTGAGGCGCCCACGAGTGACGCACGTGCCAAGGGGGATACCACCGGCACGGGGGACCGCGTCGCCACGGAAACCGATCCGGCGGGCGACTCGTCCGCGGAGTCCGAAGACCGAGCCGCAGCGCGGGATTCGCATCCCCAGCAGCAGCGGCGGCAGGACCAGCAAGTACCGGCAGGCGGTGAGACGCACGGGGATCGTTCTGACGAGGCCCCGCAGCCAGACGCCCTCCGCGCCGCCGAAGAGACGGCGCAAGAAGCCCCGACGGGCGAGGCGACGACGGCCCGCGAAGAGTTCGAAGCAACGGCGGTTGTTTCTCAAGCGCCGCGCGAGCACCAGAGCTCTCTGGCAAGCGCTCGCGTTGCCAAAGGGCAGGGGACAGGTAAACGACATTCAGTGCGAGCGGCGTGCCGCTAACCGGCATGCCCACCATCGCTCTGTAGTCAACGTAGCTCGTAACGGCGGGGGTGGGGGGGGGGGGGGGGGGGGGGGGGGGGGGCGGGGGGGGGGGTATCTTCATCGCTTCGCCCCCATCGAGACTGATCCCATCTGCGCTCCCCCACCGCCGTGTCCGCCCGACTGCGTGCGGCGCGGAGACTCTTAACCGCTCACCCTGGCGTGCGCGTGTGCGGTGCGATGGCTCGGCCGCCGCGCGCAGTCGCTTCACGCTTGCTTGTCGCTGCGCCTCTGACCGTGGAGTTGTTTGTGCTTTGCAGCCACCGGATGCGAACGGCTTCTGCCCCCTGCTGCTTTTTGCAGAACCGCCGTTCATTGTGTGCACGTGTTTATTCGCGCGTGCGTCGGTGTGTGTGTGTGTGTGTAATTGTGTGCGCATACGCATGCGTGATGGTGATCGTCAGCATTGTGTAGCCACGCGCACACTCGTCAGTATTGGTGTGCTCCACATTACTAATCCGTGCGACGCGCGACATCGCTGTTGTCTTTGCGCACTCATTTTTCCTTTCGTTCCTTTTTTTCTCGCAGCGAACGATTTCATGGACTTTGAAGTGGGAAGCGCGAAGCAGCCTCAGCAGCAGCCTCAGCAGCAGCCTCAGCAGCAGCCTCAGCAGCAGCCTCAGCAGCAGCCTCAGCAGCAGCCTCAGCAGCAGCCTCAGCAGCAGCCTCAGCAGCAGCCTCAGCAGCAGCCTCAGCAGCAGGAGCCTGCCGTGGCCGTAAGCGTCGCCAAATTCGACACGCCGCCCTCTGCCGTCCGCGTCATTGACAGCGAGGAGGAGGAGGACGATGACGATGATGAGTACGAGAACGAGTTCTACTCGGAGGAAACCGTGGCGTCTGCGGCTGCCCCCTGGGTCCAGAAGAGCCTTATCACGGTGGAGGAGGAGGAGGAGCTCTCCAAACCGGGCAAGGTCACCGTGATCCCCGAACCCCTCGGTGGAGCCGCAGGGCCTCCCCCGCAGGCCGCCGCCGTCGAACCAAAGGGCCCGGTCGGGGCTCCGGCGGCAGCAACGGCGAGACCTGCCCCCGCCGACGACAAGGAGGAGGAGCCCAAGGGCTTCCGTCCGTCGCAGCCGCCCCCCTCCTGGCCGGGGTTCGGGCCCCCCACAGTGATCATCGAGGAGGCCGCAGAGGAAGGCGGCGCGGAGCGAGAGGAGCCCGCCCCCGAGGTGAGGCCCCGCGGGAAGCCAAGCGAGGCGGCGGCGGCGGCGGCGGCGGCGGCGGCGGCGGCGGCGGCGGCGGCGGAGGAGGAGGAGGAGGAGGAGAAACAGCCGGAGGTGGAGAAGAAGCTGCCAGCCAAGGCAGAGGATGGAAAGTCACGGCAGTCCTTGCTGGAGAAGATCCACTTGCCAGCAGGTACCCAGAGATGCCCGGGGCTCTGTGCTGAGTGCTGGTCGATGCAAAGTGATCGTCCTTATTGTCATTGTTTTCTGTGGTCATCATGTTTGTCCTTCCACCGCACCTCCGATTTTGCACTGTTGGATACGTACGGTGTGAAAGAAGTTCTACATACGTCACGCATATATAAATACGGTCATCATCATCACGACCATCAGTGCTATGATCATAACCACCAAAATCATCATCATCACCACCATCATCATCCGGCTTCCTTATCCGGCGGTCTCAGACAGATCCGATGAAACCGGAAAAAAACGCTCCAAAGACTGTAACCAGTACTATGTACGTCACCCCATGCAGAGTCTTCGAGATTTGGGTGGTAAGCATGGTTGTACAGTATATACGGTCACTTTTTTAAGTTGGATATAAATTCGTCTTTTTGTTTGTTTAGTTACGCTAATTTCATTTAGTAAAAACATTTAAAACACTAAAAATACATGCTGAACACCTAGAAACATAATGTTACACAAGAATGTGCAAAATAAGCTATTTTGAATAATGATGTGATTACTCGGCGCTTTTAAAAATCCTGCACCCCCTCTCAACTGGATAATCGATGATCTACTGTATCATTACCATCATCATCACCACCACCAATATATCAGTACCATCATCACCACCACCAATATATCAGTACCATCATCTCAATCACCAATATATCAATACCATCATCACCACCAATATATCTCCAACAAATACCCCCCGTATAGCCTCAACAGACTGTTGGGGCAAGTGCTGTTAGCGCGCACCTATGAAGGCCTGAACGGCACACGAGGGAGTGGGTGGCCAACACCACACCCGACTGCCTTTGTCTCCCCAGTGGCGATGCTTTTAAAAATCCTCAACCCCCTCTCAACTGGATAATCGATGATCTACTGTATCATTACCATCATCATCACCACCACCAATATATCAGTACCATCATCTCAATCACCAATATATCAATACCATCATCACCACCAATATATCTCCATCAAATACCCCCCGTATAGCCTCAACAGACTGTTGGGGCAAGTGCTGTTAGCGCGCACCTATGAAGGCCTGAACGGCACACGAGGGAGTGGGTGGCCAACACCACACCCGGACTGCCTTTGTCTCCCCAGTGGCGATGTTTTTACACACCGCACCAGGTACTCATTTAAGTCTGAGTCGACTTAGGGGAGGCTCGTGACCGGTCACTGTTGTTGGCCGTGAGCAGGAATCGAATTCCGGTCACCGGGTTCGTAGCGCAGCACGCTCACCGCTCCAGTGCCCTCCCGTTTTTACCCTCCACATTTAGAATTAACATGCGCATTTGGCTGCCATAAATTTCTACATGATGATAAGCCACTCCTTTGAGCTACCATTTGTGAATCTAGAGCTTTGTAGCTCAGTGGGCCTTATCTGGCAAAATTAAAAAAATAGTTTTAGTTTAATTAAAGTGCCTTACAAAATTCCGTAAAAATTAATGAACACTTCTATAATAATAACTTCATATGTAGGCTTTCGCGACCAATAATACGTGATCTCTATAATTGATGTTGCTTATCGATGCGTCGGCGCGTCAAGCGTGGCAGCCAAGGCGGGCAACGTGCCGTGACGATGTCCACCCAGGAGGTGGAGCAGTGAGATGAGCTCGTGTGCAGTTTCTGGGTAGATCATTACATCACAAGATCATGAGGGATAGTGACGGCTTAGGATGGACGATGATGAAATAATTGTGCTCTGATTACTTGCACTGCAAGCCCACTTATTCGCATTCTTAACGAATTGCCATCCATTTGTGGAACGTTGGATGCAAAATAAATAGGCGAGGGTGCTCTCCCATTCGGCTGGCTCCTTTTAAAAACTTGACGCGCGTTACACCGTTGAGCTGCTTCCCAAATATAACCCTCGCGCCAACTGCGGCTGCCCGCCAACAGCACACCGGCGCACAGACGTACAGCCACGCCGGCACACTGGCACATGAGAACACACCCTTCACAAGAGGAGTCCCCTCCACTCGCTGCACTCCGACCGGCACCGGCCGTACGCCAAGCGGGGGACCCGTATTTTGAAGCGATGGTGGCTTTCTACACGGGGAAGGTTGCGGGGGGGGGGGGGTGGGGAATTGGAGAACACGGGGAAAAAAAACGCCTCTGTGCGATTGGCTGAGGCCGCTGCGGGTGCTGCGGATCGCGAGCGCTGCACGCGAATGTTAATGCGGAGCCGTGGGCGCGCGCGGCCGTGATCGCCGTCACCGGAGAGCTTGAGGGTCGATCGGTCTCGGTCAGCGGGGAGGCGGCGGCGGCGGCGGCGGCAGCAGCGATGGACGAGGATTTCGGAGACTACAAAAAGAGAGGTACTTGCGGGGTTTGGACGAGGATTTCGGAGACTACAAAAAGAGAGGTACTTGCGGGGTTTGGACGAGGATTTCGGAGACTACGAAAAGAGAGGTACTTGCGGGGTTTGGACGAGGATTTCGGAGACTACAAAAAGAGAGGTACTTGCGGGGTTTGGACGAGGATTTCGGAGACTACAAAAAGAGAGGTACTTGCGGGGTTTGTTCCTCGTGCTCCGCCGATGTTTTTGTTTCAGTCGCGTAACGACGCGCGAGGGGTCGCCCCGTCGCAGAGGTCCGACCCGGCGCGTAGTCTCCCTCGGTTTCATTTTGTTTTTGCGCATCGTCAGCAAAGGTCAATCCACTGCTCGGTGAAGGCCTCCCAAAGCCGCCACTGTGTCTCACGGGCATGCAGTGCATTATTCCGCTGGGCGCCGCGTGAACGTACGGCAGGTGGAGTGGGTTCGCTGCGACGAACTTTGAATGGGTGACAGTTGCAGAGGACCAACTCGCAGAGATAGGCGCACGGACACACAGACACGCACGGACACAGACACGGACACAAGCACAGACACACACACGCACAGACACGCAAACGCACGGACACACGCAGATGGACACGCACAGATACGGACAGATGCACGCGCACGGACACGGGCACATGCACGGGCACACGCAATGCACAGATGTGCATGTACGGACACACACATGCACACACGCACATACACACACACAGCGCACGACGACATAATCCCCTCTGCTGGAACCCGCCGAATGTGCCAGGCCGTTCCAGGCCTTTCCGCGCGAGCGTTCTAATTATACTCCGCGTCGCAACCCCGCAAACCCGCAACGCCACGACTCTCGCCGTGCGGCAAACTGACCACAGCAATGCCCTTGAGTTTGCCCCGTCTGTGAGCATGTGAACGACGTTGGAACGAGTGTGCTGCTTTACCTTGCGTTCCGATCTCTTGTTCAGTACCGCTCCACTTTTCCTCAACAGTGGCCACGTTCTATGAGCACTCTGACCTTTTCCATAGGAATGTAGAATTTCCGCCACGGACTCGGCACCACGAATGGACACTTAAGCGGAAAAGGCGACGAGACTTTTGGAATTCCCGTTAGCTTGAGTCATGCAGGGCGCTTGCCTGTGGCGAGGAGCTTAATAGCTCATCGTATTTCTCCAGGATAAATAAAGATCCTAATTCGTTCTGATTCTGAGACATGACCACACCATAGGATTGGGGCATTTATAGCACTGGCTCAAATGAGATTTGAAGTAAGCGTGGGGGGAGACACTTGGGCACCGTTTGTGCTTGCGTCTGCGCGAGTAGGTGTTTGATTGCAGGGTTCTTTTTTTCCCCTCTTTCTCTAATTGATGTATTTCTGTTTCTCTACGTCTGCAACTCCAGCCGCGCGTGGAATGACCGGCGCAGGGGTGTGCGCGCTGCCATCCGAGCTGTGCTGCGTAAGCGATTCGCTCGGACAGCGCTCCCCCCGCTCGCTCGCTCACTCGCTCGGTCATGCGCCCATGGGGGCGGGTGCCTTGGCGGGGGGAGGCGGGTGAGGCCCTGCCGCTAAAGCCGGCAGCTGTCTCTGATGCCGGCCCTCCCCCAACCCGTGGCCGCTGCTCGGGCTCCGTCGCCGTGCGCGCGTGCGCGGGGCGGAGTTGGAAGCAGTGGGGGGGAAGAGTGGCGAGTTGAACATCTCGGCGTGCGTCTCCCCCGCGGGGGCAGCTCGCGAACCAAACGGCGCGCAGAGCGACCGTCCACACTCGGGACGCACGGAGGGTTGCGTTCTTGGTTGTTGCTTCGAACTGGGCCCAGCGCCGTCCTCTTCGATGGTAAACGTCAAAAGTGGTCGCCCTGCTCGAGCGGAGATTATGCGGTGCACATTTTCCTTTGGAGGCAGAGCCGGTGGTGTAAATTCCGCTATTCTTACGGCAGTATATTTAGAGCATTGGTTGGTGGCCCTGAGCCAGCAGTGGAATTTACACGTTCCTATGGCAAGGGGTAGTTTATCCGTAGGATGGTTGCCTTCCCACGGTTGATTTTCTGGAAAAAGAGGTACTTGTTGCATTAATGACCTTTTCAAGGTATAAGGCCACGTGAACCTTTAACCAGTATTAGGACTTGTAACTCGGTGACATTGCTTTTCCGTGCTCTCTAACTACATACACCTCTAACCAGACAGATCTCAAGCGAGTCCTGGGCCCTGTGTGACCGTCCGGCATTGCCATAGGAAGACAAATCCCGCCGGGGCGTGGTAGCAACTCCACCGCCCGTCCGCTCACTGTAGTTGTTAGGCCCGACAGCTGCCTGTGTGTGCGTGCGTGCGTGCGAGCGCATCCATGTGTGCATACGTGTGCCAGTGTCCCGTTACTCGTTGTGCTCTCTGGCCTAGAGAGGAGTGCCTCTCCCAAATTTGTTGGAGGTCAAATGTCGTCATGTGTGGCCCGATGAACAATGCACTGCCCCCTTCAAAGCCATTGCCCTCTCTGCTTTAATAATTTTGCTTTTAAAGCCAAACCCCTTTGTAGCCGTGGGTGTTTTATGAACATGCACAGCCCTTTTGTCAAGCCACTTGCTGGATGAGGGCCTCCCCACGGCACGCAAGGTGGTGGGGGTCTATTAGACCATACTTCACCACACTTGTCGGTGTGGTTTTGTAAAGGTGGTGGCTTTCACTCGGTTAATCGTTCCTTCCAGGGTTGAATAAAGTGGGTGTGTGAGCAGGAAATGGCCGGGTGGCTCGGAGGTACGAGCGCAGCGCTGGCACCGCCGAGTTAACCCCGGGCGGTAGTTCACGACTAATTCGGGGCTCTCCGTTTTTGTGGCCTCAGACCGGTCACATTGACTGCACGGAAAACCCCACCGTATTTGGATTTGCACGTTACTTGCCAGAATTCCCACCACTGGCTGTCACGTGACCTTGCCTTGCTCTCTGTAGCGGAGAGGGTGGGAAAGTGCTGCCCCCCCCCCCCTACTGTGTGTATAAGAGGTCACTTAAGAGGGAGAATTCTCAAGCAGCTCTATGATATCTCCTTACGGGGAACTGTTCCTCTGACGCGGGGTGACGCGGATTCTTCGTTTTGCCAGCAGCACAATTGGGGAAAAATGAGAGGGAAAGACCAAGGAATAGAAATGAGTATCGCTTTGTGGCAAGTCAACTGTGGCCATTTCAATGGCACCTGTTCGAACAGAGGAACGAAAGAGGAGGCAGGCACACAGCCGCATGGTGAGCCAGCGCCAACAATCGCCCAAGCTCCGCGATCCTCTATTAAGGTGTTATTGGCCAATGATTGAGTGTTGCGTGTGGGAGGAAAATGGACCGCCCGGGGAAAAATCAAGCAAGGGGGAAATGCTTTATCCCAAACAGACGGAACAGGTGGAGTCCGCATTATTGCTGCACTGCCTTCTGGCAAGCAAGGGGTATAGCACCTTGACACCCACAGGAAGGGTGTTTGATGACATTAGTGCGATCCACCAACCATTGCCTCCAGTGCTGGATTACAGGCCATGTGCATAGCCACCACCACCACCACTCTCCTCAGAAGAATGTTTAATCTACTGTTGGTACAGGGCACTCTCAGCTTTGAGCACCATCTAAAAAAGCCCCTGTTGAACAACACCGTTGTGCATTGCTTGAGAAGCATTGAGATTGGTTGTAGATGTAAGTGTGCTGAGTGTGTTATGAACACTTTATATCATGTACATTATGTGTTGAGGGCTGTTGGGAAGACATAGAATGCGCATTATAGATATATAATGCATGATGGTTAGTTGCCAGGCTTGAGATATTTTTTAGGTCTGTATCGAGGATCCGGCTGTGGAGGCTTGAGACGTGTTCTGAATGCGTAATGCGTTGAGTGAGTGGAGTAACGCAGCAGTCGGTTTCTCAGCCGCTTGTAATCACGGCGCGGCCTTCCAGCTCAGGCTTCCGCGAGTCGAGCGGTCCCCTCTCGGTGCTCTTGGAGGCTGCCCCCCACCCCAACTCCACCCCCCACCCCTCCTCTACACCCCCACCCCTCCTCCACCCCCACCCCCCCTCCACCCCCACCCCCCCACCGCTCCTCCACCCACAACAGAAGAAACGCTCGACACGCAGCGTACCAGCCCGGAAACCCGCACCTGGATAGCCGGGTGGTGATTTGCGAGATGGCACGTACACTGGGTACTGTTTGAAGTTAACTACCTCATCCGGTATACAGGAGGTTGTGGGTTCGATCCCAACCCTGATGCCTGTATATTGGAGTGTGCATGTCTCTCTCCCTGCGGTCGTGCGGCTTCCTCCAGGTCCTCCGGATTTTACCTCCACATTTAGAAACATGCATTTAGAGTATTTGGCTGTTATAAGCCACTTCATTGAGCTATCATTTGTGGCCAGGTCAATCCTGAAAAAGTCCTACACAGCTCAGTGGACCTTACCTGGTAAAATATTTTTTTAAATTAGTTTAGCTTAAAATACTTGCAGTGCATTGTGGGTGGGTTGGGAAGACGGCAAGTGTGGCACGGCGGTCGTACGCGCTGAGGGACGGCTGTGACGCATTCTAATTGGCTTGGATCTCGGCAGTGCTGCCTCCGCGCTTCCAGTAAGAACACGAACGCTCGGCCTACCCCCGCCCCTAGCCGCACTTCACCCCCGCGCGAGAACCCAAGTTCGGAGTCCCGCTTATGACCAATAACAGTGGTGAATATTTGATCCGATGATCCTGCGCCCAATGCCCCGAGGCCGACTCCATCTTAGTTGAGATTTGGTGCGGCGCGTAATCATCGCCACTCGGGAGGACAAAGGTAGCCGGTACTGACCACCCACCTCCCCCCTCGTATGGCCTTTGTTTGTGCTATTGGCGAACAGCACTTACCCCAACAGTCTGTTAAGGCCACACGGGGGGGATCTTTGTGTCTGTGCGGCACGGCAGTCTCGGAGCTGGTGTACTGGCGGGACCCGCGGTGGAGCGGCGGGGTGCTGGGGGCGCTGCTGTTGCTGCTGCTGTCCATCGCGCACCTCAGCGTGTTCACCATCGTCGGCTACCTGGGCCTGCTGATGCTCACCTGCACCATCACGTGGCGGGTGTGCCGCGGCGTGCTGTGCGCCGTGCAGAAGCGCGAGGACGGACATCCCTTCCGGTACGGAGCCCCTCCCTCCGTCACATCCTCTTCCCGTCCTCCTCTCGTCCTCCTCTCATCCTCATCCCCCCCCCCCCCCCCCCCCCATGGGAAGTGCGCTCGCAGCAATGAGCAGAGCGCTGCGTGGCTTCACCAAAGCGAGCAGCGGCATCTGCCAAACGTCTTGGTCACCTAACCCACAACTCCTGTGTCAGTCCTGTGACCTGCCAAACGGGCCTTGGACAGTTTGTGTGGAGCACGAGCAGTGTTGGGGCCACCACCGTTATTTGGTGGTGATTGGCGGTTGTTGTTGTTGGCATGAGCGTGGTGTCCTCTCATTGTGTTCATTCGTGTGACCTGTTTTGTAAAGGGACATTGGTCACGACAGTAGCAATGCACCGCACAATCGAATGGAAATCTGAATGAATGTTACAAATGCCACATTTGAGGCTCTGCTGGTGTTGGTTGGTATGTATGTATTTATGAGGGGCCTGGCCTTGCAGTGATTAGCACACGGGGATGAAATCCCAGCAGCCTGGGTTTAATTTCTGGCTTTGCGCATCAGTGGAAAGTGATATGCAAACCTGTCCTCGGTGACCCCGCTTTGACTCGGCCTTAAACGTGGGCTGGCCACGTTAACTCCCCTTGGTGCCTCATGCTGCCCTTGATGGGGCTGCTTTATAGCAGCACTTGGCCTTGCGGTAAGGGTTAACGCGAGACCTTTGTTTTTACGTGCAAGGCTGCGCAGGAGCTATAAACAAAAACTATAAACTATTTTGATTGTACCAAGTAAGGCCCACTGAGCTATATAGCCCTTTTTTTGGAAACGACCTGGTCACAAATGCTAGCCCAATAAAGTGGCTTATGTGGATATTTATAGCAGCCAAATACTCTAAATGTATGTTAGTTTGAAATGTGGAGGGAAAAATTGGAGGACCGGGAGAGAAATCCATGCGACCACAGGGAGAGCATACAAACTTATAATTTACAGGCATCAGGGTTGGGATTGAACCCACGACCTCCTGTTTACCAGGTGAGGTAGTTAACATCTCACGACCGCAGCGACTGAGCTCGAGAAGAGCCAGGCTACTGTGGTACAGCATGACCTGGTTGCTAGGTTACTGTGGTACAGCACGACCTGGTTGCTAGGTTACTGTGGTACAGCACGACCTGGCTGCTGCAGCAGTGTCATGTTTGGCCACCGTGGAACAGGCTCGTTAAGGACATTATTGGGTAGCTGGCACCAACCAACCTGCAACAACAACGACAAAGTAGAAGAGAATAGCTTAAAATAACAAGCAGAGCAGCGGGCGGCTAGCACACATCACATTGCTGCAGTGGACAGCATTTGTCAGGCACTCGAGTTAAGTCTTAGCAGCAGCCCGGCCTGTCTCCTGCCTGCAGGCAAGCCGAAGACACTGCAGGTGGTCTCCAATCGCACATAGGCTACAACAAGCGCTGTGGTAACATCCCTGTCACTGTGTGTGTGTTTGTGTGTTTGTTGTGTGTGTGTTTGTGTGTTTGTTGTGTTTGTGTGTTTGTTGTGTTTGTGCATTGGCAAGGGGTGGTGCTGTGGTGCATGCACAACGCTACACTCCCAGAAACCAGGCTTCAGTTTCGGCCTTGGGGCCTTATCAGTGGAAAGGAAGCCTGCCCTGGGTCTCTCCCAAGTCGGCTCGGCCGAATATAAATACCTGATGCGGTATTTGAAGATTGGCACTGGGAAGACGAAGAGTGCCAGTTGCGGTGCCAGCCACCAAACCCCTTTGTGTGCCGTGCTGGCCAGGAGAGGTGCTCTCTTGACAGCGCTTGCCTCGGCAGTCTGCTCAGGCTATACGGGGGATCTTTGTGCGTGCGCGTGCCAGGACGTACCTGGCGGAGGACGTGGATGTGACGCGGGAGCGCATGAGCCGCCAGGTGGAGGTGGCTCGTGTCTGGACCACGGGCGCCGCCACGGAGCTGCGGCGCCTCCTGCTCGTGCAGGACCTCGTTGACTCACTCAAGGTGCCGCCCCCCCCCCCCCCCCACTTCCGGCGTCGCACCCACTTGGCACCAGAACCGCACACGCAGGGCAGTCCCGCGTCGCACCGGTACCACACACACACGCAGGGCAGTCCCGCGTCGCACCGGTACCACACACACACGCAGGGCAGTCCCGCGTCGCACCGGTACCACACATACACGCAGGGCACCCGCGTCGCACCGGTACCACACACACACGCAGGGCAGTCCCGCGTCGCACCGGTAGTACACACACACGCAGGGCACCCCCGCGTCGCACCGGTAGTACACACACACGCAGGGCACCCCCGCGTCGCACCGGTAGTACACACGCAGGGCACCCCCGCGTCGCACCGGTAGTACACACACACGCAGGGCAGTCCCGCGTCGCACCGGTAGTACACACACACGCAGGGCAGTCCCGCGTCGCACCGGTAGTACCACACACACATGCAGGGCACCCCTGCGTCGCACCGGTAGTACACACACACGCAGGGCAGTCCCGCGTCGCACCGGTACCACACACACACGCAGGGCAGTCCCGCGTCGCACCGGTAGTACACACACACGCAGGGCAGTCCCACGTCGCACCGGTAGTACACACACACGCAGGGCAGTCCCACGTCGCACCGGTAGTACCACACACACACGCAGGGCAGTCCCGCGTCGCACCGGTAGTACCACACACACGCAGGGCAGTCCCGCGTTGCACCGGTAGTACACACACACGCAGGGCAGTCCCACGTCGCACCGGTAGTACACACACACGCAGGGCAGTCCCGCGTCGCACCGGTAGTACCACACACACACGCAGGGCAGTCCCGCGTCGCACCGGTAGTACACACACACGCAGGGCACCCGCGTCGCACCGGTAGTACACACACACGCAGGGCACCCGCGTCGCACCGGTACCACACACACACGCAGGGCAGTCCCGCGTCACACCGGTAGTACACACACACGCAGGGCAGTCCCGCGTCACACCGGTAGTACCACACACACACGCAGGGCAGTCCCGCGTCACACCGGTAGTACACACACACGCAGGGCAGTCCCGCGTCGCACCGGTAGTACACACACACGCAGGGCACCCGCGTCACAACGGTAGTACCACACACACACGCAGGGCAGTCCCGCGTCGCACCGGTAGTACACACACACGCAGGGCAGTCCCGCGTCGCACCGGTAGTACACACACACGCAGGGCAGTCCCGCGTCACACCGGTAGTACTACACACACACGCAGGGCAGTCCCGCGTCGCACCGGTAGTACACACACACGCAGGGCAGTCCCGCGTCGCACCAGTAGTACACACACACGCAGGGCAGTCCCGCGTCGCACCGGTAGTACACACACACGCAGGGCAGTCCCGCGTCGCACCGGTAGTACCACACACACACGCAGGGCAGTCCCGCGTCACACCGGTAGTACCACACACACACGCAGGGCAGTCCCGCGTCGCACCGGTAGTACACACACACGCAGGGCACCCGCGTCGCACCGGTAGTACACACACATGCAGGGCACCCGCGTCGCACCGGTACCACACACACACGCAGGGCAGTCCCGCGTCACACCGGTAGTACACACACACGCAGGGCAGTCCCGCGTCACACCGGTAGTACCACACACACACGCAGGGCAGTCCCGCGTCACACCGGTAGTACACACACACGCAGGGCAGTCCCGCGTCGCACCGGTAGTACACACACACGCAGGGCACCCGCGTCACACCGGTAGTACCACACACACACGCAGGGCAGTCCCGCGTCGCACCGGTAGTACACACACACGCAGGGCAGTCCCGCGTCGCACCGGTAGTACACACACACCAGGGCAGTCCCACGTCACACCGGTAGTACCACACACACACGCAGGGCAGTCCCGCGTCGCACCGGTAGTACACACACACGCAGGGCAGTCCCGCGTCGCACCGGTAGTACACACACACGCAGGGCAGTCCCGCGTCGCACCGGTAGTACACACACACGCAGGGCAGTCCCGCGTCGCACCGGTAGTACACACACACGCAGGGCAGTCCCGCGTTGCACCAGTAGTACCACACACACGCAGGGCAGTCCCGCGTCGCACCGGTAGTACACACACACGCAGGGCAGTCCCGCGTCGCACCGGTAGTACACACACACGCAGGGCAGTCCCGCGTCGCACCCGGTAGTACACACACACGCAGGGCAGTTCCCGCGTCGCACCGGTAGTACACACACACGCAGGGCAGTCCCGCGTCGCACCGGTAGTACCCACACATGCAGGGCAGTCCCGCGTCGCCACCGGTAGTACACACACACGCAGGGCAGTCCCGCGTCGCACCGGTAGTACACACACACACGCAGGGCAGTCCCGCGTCGCACCGGTAGTACACACACACGCAGGGCAGTCCCGCGTCGCACCGGTAGTACACACACACGCAGGGCAGTCCCGCGTCGCACCAGTAGTACACACACACGCAGGGCAGTCCCGCGTCGCACCGGTAGTACACACACACGCAGGGCACCCGCGTCGCACCGGTAGTACCACACACACACGCAGGGCAGTCCCGCGTCGCACCGGTAGTACACACACACACGCAGGGCAGTCCCGCGTCACACCGGTAGTACCACACACACACACGCAGGGCAGTCCCGCGTCGCACCGGTAGTACCACACACACGCAGGGCAGTCCCGCGTCGCACCGGTAGTACACACACACGCAGGGCAGTCCCGCGTCACACCGGTAGTACACACACACGCAGGGCAGTCCCGCGTCGCACCGGTAGTACACACACACGCAGGGCAGTCCCGCGTCGCCACCGGTAGTACACACACCGCAGGTGCAGTCCCGCGTCGCACCGGTAGTACACACACACGCAGGGCAGTCCCGCGTCGCACGGTAGTACACACACATGCAGGGCAGTCCCGCGTCGCACCGGGTAGTACACACACACGCAGGGCAGTCCCGCGTCGCACCGGTAGTACACACACACACGCAGGGCAGTCCCGCGTCGCACCGGTAGTACACACACACGCAGGGCAGTCCCGCGTCGCACCGGTAGTACACACACAACGCAGGGCAGTCCCGCGTCGCACCAGTAGTACACACACACGCAGGGCAGTCCCGCGTCGCACCGGTAGTACACACACACGCAGGGCACCCGCGTCGCCCCGGTAGTACCACACACACACGCAGGGCAGTCCCGCGTCGCACCGGTAGTACACACACACACGCAGGGCAGTCCCGCGTCACACCGGTAGTACCACACACACACACGCAGGGCAGTCCCGCGTCGCACCGGTAGTACCACACACACGCAGGGCAGTCCCGCGTCGCACCGGTAGTACACACACACGCAGGGCAGTCCCGCGTCACACCGGTAGTACACACACACGCAGGGCAGTCCCGCGTCACACCGGTAGTACACACACACGCAGGGCAGTCCCGCGTCACACCGGTTGTACACACACACACAGGGCACCCGCGTCGCACCGGTTGTACACACACGCAGGGCAGTCCCGCGTCACACCGGTAGTACACACACACGCAGGGCAGTCCCGCGTCGCACCGGTAGTACACACACGCAGGGCAGTCCCGCGTCGCACCGGTAGTACACACACACGCAGGGCAGTCCCGCGTCGCACCGGTACCACACACACACGCAGGGCAGTCCCGCGTCGCACCGGTAGTACACACACACGCAGGGCAGTCCCGCGTCGCACCGGTAGTACACACACACGCAGGGCAGTCCCGCGTCGCACCGGTAGTACACACACACGCAGGGCAGTCCCGCGTCACACCGGTAGTACACACACACACACAGGGCACCCACGTCGCACCGGTTGTACACACACGCAGGGCAGTCCCGCGTCACACCGGTACCACACACACACGCAGGGCAGTCCCGCGTCACACCGGTTGTACCAGTCGCGAAGATTTTTCTTCGCCTGCAATTCGTCTGCACTCTTACCCTGCCCTATGGTTCTTTCGGTAAAATCACGTCAGTATAAATAAAAATTAAACAAAACAAATGACGACGTTTCGATCGCCACACAAGCGATCCTCATCAGGTGGAACAATCACAGCAAGAAAATGCTGAGGTAGGCGGGAGAGCTGCCGTGGCAAAATGTTATATAGGTAAGAAAGGGGGGAGAGAGAGGGGGGGGGGGAGGGGGGTGGGTGGGGGGGCCGCGTGAGCGCAAGGGGAAGAGGACGTGAGGCTGATATTCACCCACAAAACACTTGTGCCACACTCGCAATGTATCGGCACCACACCCACAATACCACAATGCACCTGTGCTTCATCCACAATGCACTTGTTCTATCCTCGGCGCATAACAATTCTTGCGATTTGATCATTTTGCCTCGGTTCGGGCCAGTGCTTCAATTCAAGAATAACACAACTCGCGCGTGATCCTGCACTAGTCGGTTCGAACACGCGCGATTCGATATGCGTGACGTGTGCGTGAGAAAGCATTTTAAATCGCACCCGCGTGTGTCCACCGCGCCGGGCTTGAGTGGGCGTGCGCGTGCCACACACCGCCCGCGCTCGGTGGGCGATGCACACGCTGTGCACGCACGCCGTTCGGCGAGTAATGCGCGGTGCGTTCGTTCGGCCGGTGGCTATATTGGGCATGGGCTTTTACGTCCGCGTTGAGCGCATTTGCTGCGGCGAGCATCAGTCTCGTCATCCGCACCTTCCACTGAGCGGGATAATGAGCTTAGCTTTCAAAGCCCGGGCCGCTGCAGGTTGTTACACAATCTGGCTCGCCTGCAGCGTCAGCGGGTGCTGTGTCGATGATGGACGTTCCTCATGATCCCATTCCTCCTCCCCCCCCCCCTCGTGACACGATCTCGCTGCCTGCGTTCGTAAGCAGGTGGCGTGCCCTGTGCATTTGTCCGGATCCCCACACGGGGACGGTGTGGGTTTATTTTTTTTTTAAACCCAGTTGCTAGGCTCCACCTCGGCTTAACTTTTCACGCGTTGAAAGCGGCAGCTGCCCGGCAAAGTATAATCTCGTGCAGGAATGCTCAACACGGAATTGTAAAATACAGTTGAGGCACTTGCTGGGTGTGGTGGCCAGGAAGATGGTGGCACGGCAAGCCGAGTTTTGCTCCTCCCGTGATTTTTGCCTCCGAGGCAGCGACATCGGTGTCTGTCGCCCCCAGCCACCCGTTCGTCTGAACTCCAGCAGTGGTTATTTTACGTGTGGGTATAACTGCTCGAGGAGCAAGTCCAGCAATGTTGTTTCCTTCTCACGAGTTTGTGCTTTCTCTGTCGTCCAGTTTGCCGGCGTCCTCTGGCTCATGACGTACGTGGGATCTGTGTTCAACGGCCTCTCTCTCCTCATCCTGGGTAACGCTCACGCACGCTCGTTTGCTCGCTCGCTTGCTCCCTGCCAGAGCCGGCGTTGCGTCGGATTTGACTTTACTCTCCGATGGTTGCACAACCGCCCATGTTGTACAAACCCACTTTGGGTTTGCAACAGAGCGACACGTTGTTGTGTGCCACGCTTTGCGATCGCAGCTCATTTTCATGCCAGAACAAAACACAGCCCAAGCTGCGATGGACCCGAGAGCACCCCCCTCCCTACCCCATTCTCTTGCCGAGATGGTCGCGTCCATGTAGCTCGCCGTAGCCAGAGAGGGAGATGTTTGTCGTCATTCTTGCCCTGGATATGCTTCGGAAAACCAAAAAATAAGCACTAGGCATTGACGAGGAAAACATTTGTTAAATGTTGCAAGTAAATAATTTAAGGCAAGTGTCATATTAATTTGCATACAGAACAAGCAAAGCATGTTCGTGGCCTCCAATTCGGCAGTTGGCCACCATTTAATCTCTTGTAGAGGCATTTACCTTGGCAATGCTGGTAAGCCCACATGACCTAATTTTCAGCCTATCACAGTAATGCGTGTGCAACATAAAAACAATGTAGTGTTACATGTTGGCATTCCAATAGCTACGTGTATATCATACATCCTTGGTTCGCAGCAGTTAGCCTATCATTCACATATCAACTCGGAGATCAGTATTCAAAGAAACTTGGATAAAGAGAGCAGTTCAACTTTGGCTTCACTCTTAACACTACTGAACGTTAACTGCTCCTCTTCTTTGGTTCTTTCATTCTATGTGACTTTACCGAAAGAACCAAAGAAGATTAATCCTTACAGTCACGAAAGCTTTAAATCGAAAGTTAACTGCCCTGTAAAAGCTGAGCTGGTGCCACACGGCAACCCACGACCCAAATCCAGCGGCGCGTCACCGTGGGTTTCGTGGCACGCTGGAGCGTCGTTATTTTATTGAGCAATGGGGAGAAACGTCACCACCGCGTGGTGATAACGCAGGAGGCCCGAGTCATGGCGAGCACACCCCCGCTGATTGAGAATCACCAACCCACTATTGTCCGTCCCACACCATCACTTCCAAATGTTTTCCCAGTGTAAAAAGTGACTCTCAGTCGTCGCCCCCACTGCAAAAATCTTAGCATGGGGCCCTCCTCAACGAGAGTCCTGGGACTGGGTAATCAAGAACAAGAATAACACCACCGGTGTGCGTCTCTCTCCAATTCTCCACCAGGTGTGGTGCTCCTGTTCAGTGTCCCCATCGCCTACGAGAAGAAAAAGGTGAGAGGCCGACATTCGGCGCCTGTAGGCACTCAAAAGTCCCAGTGGTCTCCAGTACAAACGAGCACCGAGGCGGGGCGTTGCTCATCTCCTGTCACGGCCCTCCCAGAGCGAGTGGAGGAATTCCACATTCCTATGGTGGGGCGAGTGAAGCCATAGGACAACCACTGTTGAATTTGCCACAAAGTGGAACTCGTTTATATAAACCCTGGGGGGGTGATTGCCTGAGTCAATCCACCCAACCAGGGTTTGAACTCGCCCTCCGATTGCGGGTCGCTCACTCTACCGCTGATCCAGTGTGTGTGTATGTATATTGTGTGTGAGCGTGTGGGGGGAGCGGTAGCGTAGCGGTTAGCGCGCTGCGCTATGAACCTGATGAGTCGAGTTAGGTTTCCGTTCATGGTCAACACCAATGGCGATTATCTGAACTGGTCCTGGGCCTCCCCTTGGTCGACTCAGCGTAAAATAGGAACCTGGTGCAGTGTGTAAAAATATCGCTACTAGGGAGACAAAGGTGGCAGGCGTGGTGCTGGCCACCCTTCCCTTCATGTGCCGTTCTGGCCTTAGTCGGTGCTCGCCAACAGCATTTGCCCCCAACATTTTTTGAAGGTTATATGGAGATCTTTATCTTTGTATTGTGAGTGTGTGCGTGGTGAGTGCTGAGTTGCACACATGTAACCGTGTTGTTTCTCACCCCAGACCGAGGTCGACCATTACCTGGCGCTGGTTCAAGCGAAAGTGGACGATGCAACGGCACGGTAACGGATCCCCGAAGCCGCATCCGTTCCCAGACGATTTGCTTTGAAACCCTGTACAATGTTTCCTCGCCATGAGCGCCGTGTTTTAAATGTGCCGCAAGAGGCGCTTTGGCAGGCCGCTCGCACTCTGGCGAGCTCCGTTCGCTGTCTAGCTGGGTCGCCGCCCTGCATCGCACGCCATTGGCCGACGCCCGGCCGCACCAGTGTAATGGCCCAGCGGGGGCGAGCAGCAGGCCCGCTTGCCGTGCGACGTACGGTTAGTGGCGTCCATCTGCCGAGATGGCAAGGGTTAGGCGGCTGGAAGCAACTGCGTCGCGTGCAGTTTCCGTGGACCGCAATTTGTTTGGTGGAGCGACGGCGCGGTGGTTAGCGCAGTGCGTCGCCAAACCCCGGCCTCTCCTGAGTCTGATTCCCGGCCACGGCCGACGTCCGTGACAGTGATGTCCAGAATGTCTTGGTGGCAATAAAATGTTTAGTCAAACTGTATTGTTGAAGAATAACTAAAGGAGAAAAAAAGGGAAGAGAGAGTTTATTCAATCACCTATTTTTTTTTTAAGTCGGAATGTGTTTGTCATCTGCCGTATACCTGCCGCGGTGTTTTTGTGTACACGTAGATCTGCGTGTGATGCGGCTCTCGAAATATTTTTGTTTAAGACAAAAACAAAACAAAATTACTCTTAAATTTTGATTTAAAGCTTTCGTGACTGCAGTAATTCATATTCTTAGCTCTTTCGGTAAAGTCACGTTTTATATATATTTTATTATTTTATTGTTTCCCTTCAACGTGACTTTACCGAAAGAGCTAAGAATAAAAATTACTCTTCTTGGAAAGGTTGCCAACCCCTGGTCTCGGCAGATGCAAGGTCAACAAGAGAAGTCGCTGTTTTTAGTTTATGCTGGGAGTCCGCTTCCATGTTGCGTTCTGCAATCACTTGGCTTCTCAACTACGTCAGAATTTAGTCCCGATCCCAAGCTGAGTTTTAAGAAAACTTGGCGAGTCTGCTTGGATGCAGCTGTTGTGAATATGTTAATTTGATCATCCTGGCTTAACTCAATTTGTCGACATCATGTTTCGTGAAAATGTTTGTCCATTGCCTCTACTTGCCTAAATGTATTACTTACACTTTTGGAATGTATTTTATATTTGTATATTTAAATACTCTCAGTGCAATTTACCTTCTTGCTCAGCCTTATTCACGTTGTTGCTAAATTACTGCCAAAGTTATTCTAGATGTGTAAAAATGTAAATGGGTTTAAGGTATATTTTGGTGTACTTAAATTGACATTAGAATCAGAATCTTTCTTTGTCCTGGAGAGCCTATGAAGATCTTTTTCACGGAGTCTTCACGTAACCCTGGAGGGTCCGCCCCCGCTTTGTAAAAGAGACCAGTTAATCGAAGGGTGGCAACCGACGGTCGGGACGCGTGGCTCTGGACGCGTGGCTCGCGAGAGGCAGTGGAACCAGACCGACTCCGTGGATGTTGATTCCCTGTTTTGTGCCGCAGAGTGAAGAGCATGATTCCTGCCGCCCTTCGTCCAAACGAAGCAAACTCCTCGGCCAAGTGAAAGCGCAAGCTCGACCGCGCTCGACCATCGCCAACCCCCCCCCCCCCCCAACTGAACAAAAGCTGACGATAGCCTAACACTTCCGTTGTTACTCCGTATGTTTGACTTAAAAATTAAGTAGGATACCAATTTGCGTGTGACATAACAAAGTGCATGAAACTACCAATACTTTAGAGTTTTTATTTAAATCGAGTTTTCTTTTGTGTTTTGTTTATTCGTCCTCTTAAATCCTTGAGGTACCGTGACGAATTGTAAATCGCATTTGCGTTGTCAATGTTGCCACGACGGTCGCGTAGCGCCGCGCAATGCCGTCATCAAATGTAATCCAGAGAGCTGCCGTGGAACACGGCCGTCAGCCTCGAGTAGTCCGCGTCAAACGCATTCTCGTTTTAGATTACTTAAGAAAGCAGACATCGGTAGTAAGCTGAATTGGTGAACCCCGAGATCCATGACCGCACTCGATCACTCGGTCACAGTCCGTCGCAACGTGCAGCTCTTAATCGGCGGTGGCGGCGGTGACGACGGCAGCATCCGCGCCAGGCGTGCAGGACGAGTCTCTGTGTCCGCTGCCGTAAGGCCATGGGGCTTGGAGAGCGGCTCTGCCGGGGGGTGGGCATGCCCGGGCCCCCACGGCCCCCACGGCCCCCACGGCCCCCACGGCCCCCACAGCTTCCACGGCCTGGACGTCTTGGCGAAACCTTTTAGCACCGTTTTTTTGTTTTCCGAGTCTTGAGCAACACCTGAAGAAATTTGGCCAAATTTCTCCTGGGTGAGTCCACAATAGCAACCCAACTTTATAAGTCAAATTTCGTTTGGATTGAATCCCCTTCACGAGCACACCCTACCCCCCGATACCCTACCCCCCCCCCCCCCCCCCCATTGATGACGGACGGACATCAACACTTTCCACGTGATTTTCAAAGCGTTCGGAATATATTAATTTATTAACAAATTTCTGCAAGTCAAACAGCATGCAGTGGTGGCCGTTGAACAATTTGTTTGCTGAAATGTTTTCTCTCTGTGGCCGCATGGGCCCTTGCAACTGTGATTCCTGTTTCTGCAAAACAACGTGCACTCACTCTCCGATTTGCCGTCTCCTTCGCACCAAAGGGAGGCACGGGCCACTTTCGTATAACCACGTTCAGGTCACCTAACTAACAACATAAGCTATGTGTACAACCAATTTAAAATATACCAAAATAGCTCGAATTCAGTATTCTCTTCCTTGTTTTAAAACAAATGTATACATTTTGGCAAATGGATGTTGGAGGTTAGAGTCAAAATGTCAAACGGGTCTTCCCGCTTCCAGCCCTGAGCTGGTGGTGAAATTCCCACACTCCCTTGGACAAGGGCCGCTGTATTTATAGACAACTACCGTTGACCTCCCATAAAGTGGCCCTCGTTTTTATTGACCGTGGAGGAACGCTTGGCCGAGGCCACGATTTTGAACTCGCAGCCTTTCCGATTGTAAGTCGAGCACGGGGGGGCCCCTGGCTGGATACGCCGGAGGTAATGACCCCCTGGGATACTGGTCCTGAGCGTTGCTCTCTTACCGGCAGTGTTCAGTCTCACCGTGTTTGGGCCCTCAAGCCACCTTGAGTCTGATGTATCACTGTTCATCACGCGAACCCGCCAGTCAGCCCACCACGGTGCCAGCCCACCAGCCAGTCATTCGGCCAGCTTGCCAGGCAGCCAGTCAGCCAGCCAGCCAGCCAACCAGCTCGCCAGCTCTCCAGCAAGCCGATGAGAGGAGCGTGAGCTGCAGCACAATGCGCCGTGAACGTGACCCCACTGCAATCCTATTTTTGTCTTTGCATGCGGCACACCACCCACATCACCCAGGCAAGCCTCTATATTGAATTATAAGCACAGGTTGGTAAGAAAACTAGCACATCGAGTAGATTTATGACTCATCTCCTGGTTAAAAAAACACATTTTCCCTGCATATGTGTGGGGCTATTCCCCCCACCTCAAGCTTCCTAGCAAAACAATCCTCCTGGGAAAGGAAGATATGCCGCACGTTAAAAACACAAGAGCCCATTGTCCTTTCGTCTCTTTAATCATTCCTCGCTACAGTTTTGCCTCTTTTTTTTTTCACCAATTTGCTAAAGAGCTAGCGTAGCGAGTGATCAGCTGATCGCGTTCGGTCAAGCGCAGCAGACGTTCGACCCGCGGGGCGACGACGCCGCGTTGGCACCACCGAGGTCGTGGCTCTGTCCGCGGCCTTGCGGCGTCCGTCACGGTTCTCACGCAGCGCGTTGGGGTGGTCACCCCGCCTGGTCAGCCATCCGCTCCCCGTACAGCCTAAACAGACTGTTGGGGCAGGTGCTGTTAGTGAGCACCTAATGAAGGCCGGCACGGTACGCGACGGGGTGGATGGCCAGCGCCACCGTCCTTTCCCCCGTGGCTGGGAGAGGGTTGTAAGGCTGCGCAAGTTTGGCCCTTGAAGGTCGTCGCGTGGACGGCCGAGGTTATTTGCTTCGGGCAATTCGGTGTGGCAGGCGAAGGAGCGGCGTCATTGGGCGGGGGGTGGGGTCGCAGGTTCAATGCATCATTGCTCTAAAGGCCGGGTCGCAAAAGCACAATCGGTTTACAAATGACAAGTTGACCATGACAAAAAAAATCAGTTTAAACAAGACAAAGTCTGACGCTAAACACGGATTACGCTGGAGCTTAACTAGACGCGGGAAACGTTGAATCGTATTTAATTCTGCGATGAGCGTAACATTCACGCCGATGTTGACGCGAGGCGTAGTCGTAGTTTTGTGTAGCATTGGCAATGGTGGACGTAGTGGGGGGGGGGGGGGGTAGCGGTTTGCACTTCATGGCGTTCGCTTTGAGAGCGGGTGGCACAGCAGCTCAGTGTTGCTCCCTCTGGCACCGCGTGTCCCCCCCCCACCTCTCTCCCCCCCGCTGCTCAACGCGCGCCTTCAAGCCTCGGACTCGCCACGCGAGGCTTCAGTTCCTGCAGTTGCTTGAACATTTAATGTGTCGCGTCGTCCCCAGCGCACTCCGAGCGGAGGTGCGTAATTACGAAGAGCGAGTCCGAGGGATTTTGCAAAGTTGCCCGAGGGGTTTTTCCAAAGTTGCCCCAGGATGGCCGGCGGTTGCCAGGTGAGAGAGAGAGAGAGATGAGCCGAGTGAAGAGAGCGAGAGTCGGAGGGTCTCCGTGGTCTGGCCCTTCCTTGCCTTCGCAGCGATTGGACCCCGACGGTCGACGCCGCCAAGCGCTTTATCGAACCGTGGATTCGCATGCCGACGCTCGATATGGCAGACGTGTTTCATCATGTGAAGCGCGTTCACGTTTTTTCGGCAGAATGTTTATGCATCGGCGCAGTGATTTTAATTTTTCTTTTTCGGGAGAGAGGTTTTCACGTTTAACTACTAAACAAAAAAAACCACAACAAACCATTTCGTTGATGTATCAGGATTAACGAGGGCCTTGTCCACCGTGATCTATCGGTCTCTCCGGCGCTTTTGTGTCCGTCGTGGAGGGGGGGGGGTAGTTTGAGTTTTTGTTGCGTCCGGATGGGTGGTGGGGGTACTGCGCGGTTTGTGTGCGCGAGAGTGGTTTGAATGATTGCGGCTGGACAACCCCCTTGCGCTTTGCCTCCGTTGCACACGCTGACGTAGCAGCGGCTGGTTTACCGGAGCCGGCGGGGGGTGGTGTCGGCAGTGTGGGTTTGTGTATCCCCGGGGCTGTTTTCATTTGAAGGAAATCCCTCTTGTGGGGAATCCGTTGTCGAGATGCCCCAGGCGTTTTGGGAAGGTCTGTTGGGCTCGCGACACCCGCATTGTGTCCAGCGTGAGCACGTGGCTGGCTAGGTGTGGCGAACGGCAGGTACCGGTCGACTTGACAGTACCGTGAAAACTTGACGAAGCGCGCCTTTGGTTGGGATTTGGACAACGTTGAAGACCCATCGCAGAAACGAACCGCTGACAAATATTCAGTTTTCACACAAAGTAAAAATCAACGTAAATAAAACCGTTGGAAAAAGTGACATCCATTGGCTCGATATGGAATGTCATTACTCCCAAGTCTCCTTTGGGAAACAGAAGTCGCCGGATCTGTTTCACTCTCCCGACTAACCAAACGTAATTGCAATGAATGATATAGTCTTGTGTATATGTGCGTGTCAAATTATGAGTGTCTGTGTGTGTCATCATAAGGCTGTAAGGGCATGTTGAGTGGCACCGATCTGCTCGTTCGTGCATTGTGCTCCTCCCACGCTTGATGGAATGCTGTCGCTCGTGAATGGCTGTCGAAGCTACGGTACGGTAATATTGATTTCACACACAGCTGCTTTAGTGATCGTGCGACGTTTGTTGTTGACAACATTGCTGCTGATGCACCTTCTATAGCAAAGTCGAATGTCAGCTTGTGCTAGCCTTATATTAATGGTAACAAATAAAGTAACCGCGTGTTTACAACATGTTTTTTTTTAATGACTGCGCTCCCACATCATCGTTCCATGACTACCAAACGCCATTCACGAAGTGCAGAATCGAAGTGTGGTACGAGGGGGCTAATGCCATCCCACAGGACGGGGCTGGCACCATGGAGGGACCTGGGTTCGGATCCAGGTAGCCACCCGTGGTGAAACCGGGTTCTCAAGTGCTGTTTAATCACGTTTCAGCCTGATCAGCAATTACTGCACAAAAAAAAACAATTGAAATTAGTCTTCTAACTTAGATTAGATTATTCCAGCTCAAAAACAAATATCGGAAAGATTGGCACAAGTCACTCTGGCGAGAATTTAAATCGTGTGCCCCTTGTGTGGATACGGGCTCGACTTCCGAAACGATTCTGTGATGTAATCCAGAACGAGATTCACTTCCTACTGAGAATTCCCATTTGCAGAAGTCGTGGCTTCTGACAACAATGTCCCTATTATGATTGGAATGTACCGTGTTTTGGGATATTTTTTAAGACGCGCAATATCCTTTGCAGCCCTTTTTTAGTCTGATCGAAGGGGCGAGAACTGTTGGTTGTGGAATTCTCACGCGGGACAATGTGTGTACCGTTTCAAGGGTAGTTCCGTCTTTATTGAGACATTTAACCACGAGCTTTGTCACGCTGGGTGTCTTAAAAGAAAAAAACTACAGTATACATTTAGGTTACTTTTCAAGAGGCATAAAATGGTGACCATTTGCGCACCATAATTTAGACACCCTGCTAGCATTCTTGTTCTCTCGTACGCGCACGCACACTGATGACACAACAGACTACACAACAGACAGGTACACGGGAGGATACTCGGCTCCCTGTAACGAACAATTAGGGATCAAACAGTATTCAACGCCCCCTACTGGAAGACTAATGCCCCAGGTCACTGTTGAGTTCTCGCCTGGTTGAACAAAATCAAAGTAGGACTGCCCCGCTGCTTGCCGAGGTTGGACGAGGGACCGATCAGTTATTCTCTGCAATCTCCTGTCCACGTGCGCTCGTGAACCAGCCCACGTACTCCAAAATGGTGAATTCAGGTTGTGGTGAGAACGGGTGTTACTGTGCATTCACGACACCACAGTTTGCCCTCTTCAATTTGCTTAATCAGCCACCTTTTTTTATTTGCGTGAACATCAATTCACATTTAACAAGAAGAAGTAGCGGATGAAGCACGGTGATTAGCCACGAAAGTACTTCACCTTCAAAGGGCCTAGACGTCATTGCTGTGGGAATAAAGACTCGAAGATAAGAGCACGTGCGTTTAAGCGGAGGCGCACGTTCACGCTCTCGTGCGGAGCTTGTCGTTTTACCACGGTCTCGCACTTACGGAATTAAAATTCTGCAAGCAAGAAGCGACGAATGGAGCGCGTTTGTGCGTAAAACAATTGGTTTTTAAGATCCGAGTAAACGCAAGGTCACGTGGCAGTGACACTTTTAAATTAATATCACAGAACAAGTGCTGGTATCGGCTCCGAATGCAAGGTAAAAACGCAAACCAATCGTGCCCCCCTTCTCTGCTTAATCGAGCCATCGGCTGGAACTTGCTCCCGTTGGTGGCCCTCTGAGCTTTGTGGTGGAAGTTTCGCATTTCCCATGGCTGGGTTCACGTTCGAGAGTCAGTGCCGGATTATCCTGGTAGCGAAAGTAGCTACATAATGCTACGGGCCCCGCACTTTCAAGGTCCCCGCGCTAAACGCTTTCAAGCTATCAATTCCGGTTCAGTGATTCTGCGGTATAGTACTATAGTATAGTACTATAGTATAGTATAGTACTATAGTATAGTACTATAGTATAGTACTATAGTACTATACCGCCTTCAACTTTTATGAACGGCTGGGTGTTTAAGGTTAGCGATTTGTCGTATTATCTGGCTGTATAGCAAATTAAAAAAATAAAATGTATTTACTATGCAAGTTAAACATTTGTGTTTTAATAGTTATGATCTTTTTAATATAATTTAGGGCCTCTTAACATATGCTAGAGGCCCCGCAGTAGCTTAATCCGGCACTGTCTGGAGTACAACCGCTGTTGCCTTCCCACAAAGCGATCCGTATCTATTGAACACCCCCCCCCCCCCCACCACCAGAGGAACGACAGACTGAGCCAACTCCCCGACTGGGATATCAACTGAGTCGAGAGCTTTAACCACGGCACCATCCCGGCCCAGACCAGCTAAATTTAAACCCACCCCCCAGTTAAATTTAAAATGAGAAAAAAAACTCGGTACATAACGAGAAGACTTAGGTGTGCCTTATAAAATAGAGCACGCAGCGGATGGGATGACGCTTTGGTTTTAATAAATGTCATTGAAATTGAAATTTGCTCGACTGAGCAGCGACTTGTGGATGCAGTTGGGGGAAGTGTCATCTTCAGCTTTGGGATATTTATCCCACCATGGCATCCGTGCAGTACTCCCAGGAGATCAGGTATGGCCGATGGTTCTGCTAGTCGTTCACATTGGCTAACATTTATTTTGATGGTGACCTAAGACAAGAAGATCACAATTCAGTTCTTAAGGAGCTGCTGTGGGATTTAGCATATCGCACAAAGACCGAGTGGTTTTTGTACACTCTTCTACGTGTGTTGTGGGGTTTCCAGCCCACGCTATTCGGCTGTTACGATGGGTTTTCTCGGCATTTATAGATTTGATTAAATGACCCACTACTGTAGTGCACTGAACATTACCTACACATTCCTATGAACTCGAAGACCTCCACATCTCACCACAAACTTCTAAAGTGTGGGCTAAAATCGACCACTTTCTAAAATTGAAAAACAGAACATGGCATTTGTTCAAGTACATTTCACACTATCCACAAGTAATATCTGCGCAATTTAAAGCCAGTGATGCCTCTTAAAATACTACGTTTGGGAGATAACATTTCTCCTGTAAAATTGTCGCCTTTTAATTGCAGAAATCAAGTACTATAGGCTTACTAAATATAGTTATTCAACATTCTTAATGCAGGGTCCTCTTTAAACTTCCCGAACATTCATAGCATGCCTCCTTCCCAATACTGCAGTTTTACTAATCATCAATGCACAATAAAAATTCCAAAAGTAAAATTGAAAAGTTATATATTAAAAAAATGCCCATGCATGTGTAGGCAGCTTCGCCATTAGTTCCTCTGCCACATTTCGTTTTTTCAGCTTGTTAAAGTTGTGCTTCTATAATTGTCATCCAATTATAAAACAATGCAATAAAAAAGCTACAACATTTAAATGCACAATGCACACAACTATCCTTACATTTCAACATTGTTTAAATTTTTAAACCAATAGTTGTGTTGTCCTGCTTCCATACCGTCACCCGACCCTTTGACCTTGCCTGGTTTCCTGTCCGGCGACCGTGTGCCCTTCCTGGGCCGGCCGCTAGGGTGCAGGGGGTATAGGGAGGAGGAGGCGGAAGAGCAGGGACAGACGGATGGACGTGGAAGATGGAAAGAAAACTATGGTGGTCACAGCGGCTACGTGGAAAGACGGGGCTGGCCAGCTTCACGCTGGCACGGCTGTGGCACATATTTGGCTGCGGAAATCGGAGGTTGTGAACTATACACAGAAGCGGGGAGGGCGAGTGTCTCTCCTCGTGCCTCCGAATGGACCGAGGCTTCCAGTTTGGCAGGCTCTGTCGCCATCCATCATCGCTGGCTGTGAGCGGCTGTAAGCTGCACCGACGGCTCCTTCTCTCCGACAGCTGTGGACATGGAGATGCATGGGGCCTGAGTCATCTCTCTCCCCGAGGATAGATTGAACAGCGTTTGTGATCATTATCCGTGGCTTACCACTGCTGCACCTCACGTTGCGCATCCAAGTCCACGACATCAGGGTTACTTCTCGACTTAAAGCTTTCGTGACTGCAGGAATTCATATTCTTTGGGTCTTTCGGTAAAGCCACGTAGATTGAAAAAAATAATAAAATTATCACGACGTTTCGATCGCAACGCAAGCAATCGTCATCAGGTGAGATCGTCATCACCTGATGACGATTTCTTGCGTTGCGATCGAAACGTCGTGACATTTTTATTATTTTTTCTATCTACGTGGCTTTACCGAAAGACCCAAAGAATATCAGGGTTACTATTGATGGCCCTTTGCCAATTCACTGTTGAGTGAGGGCCTCCCCACGCCATGTCGATGCTGGGGGCTTGTTTGTCCATACTTCACGCTGGGCAGTGCGAGATTGTGAAGGGGGTTGGGGGTGGATGGGTCAGGATCAGTTTCAACCTCACCTGCCACTGATGTTAGCTGTGGCCGATAATCGAACTCTGATTGCCAGGTTTAGAGTGCCAACCACGGGCTACCCAATGTATTATATTTACCAGGCTACACCCTTGCTTATGATACTTGAATGGGTCAAAATCGGTTCCATGGTTGCTTGGTTTAAACAAATGGACTTGTGAAACATCAACATGACAAGCTCATAGACCAATGTATGAAATGTCGGTTCATTTTGGGAAATACACTCCATTATATTATTAATTGCAGATGATATCTCCAATCTAACAGTATTAAAAAATAATTACCACCAATCTAGAGTAACAAGTCAATCCTCTATTCTCATTCAAGCATCCCAGACCTCTTTTGAAAGAGGATCAATAATAATCATATTGAGTTGTTAAATAGCAGTGTCATTTATGCAACGACATCTACCGCTGCTGCATTGGTGGCGGTGTTACAAGCACAATGAAACACAAACTAGAAAGGGGCTGTTTCCCGAAACATCGCCTCTTCCATAATCTTCACTTTTTAACGCCACGGTTTTACTGACGAGCGTGTCGGGGGTTTAGCGAAGGACTATCGGTATCGGTATTGCTGGAGTGAGATCCGTGCGCTTCTCTCTACGATGTCACCACCGATCACCCACTTGACCGGTAGCGCTGCTTTGCCCGGGCTCGCTCCTCCGCGTCAAAGTACCACACGGTGATGGCGAACCTGTGGAGGACACGCACACGGAGGGCTCTGGGCGTCTGACATCTCCACCATACATGACACCGTGGGAACGCACTTAGCGTTATCTCCCCACTGCTGATGTTTACACACTGCGCCGGGAACTCGTTTAAGGCTGAGTGAACCTAGGGGAGGCCCAGGACACGGTTCAGATATTCGTCACTGGGTCGTGAGCAGGAATCCCAATTCGGGCCGTCGGGTCCGTAGCGCAAGAGCGCGCTAACCGTCGCGCCACCGCTCCCCCCACGTCGCAGACACGGGGGAGAAGGGGGTTGGTGGGCCGGCACGGGCCGGAGCGCGCTGCTCACCGCGTGCCGAACGTGGGCAGCACCTCGTGGGGCGTCCGCCGGTCCGACCAGAAGAGGAGAAGTCGGTCGAACCTGGGCTCCACGTCGGCCGGCCGCCCCTCCAGGCCGCCCCCGGGGAAGATCCGCAGAACGCCCCCCAGCTGCTGGGCGTGCCGGACACAACGACGCACGGGCGGAGGCGTGAGCGACCCCTCGCTTTACCACCACCACGATTTGACTTTTTTTTTGGAGGGGGGGGGGGTATTTTTTTACCAGGAAAGGCCCACTGAGCTACGGAGATCTTTTTCAGAAGCGACCTGGCCAAAAATGATCGCTCAACAAAGTGGCTCATCACTATGTGGGAATGCACAGCAGCCAAATACTCTAAACGCGCGGCAGACGGACACCGGCATCACCGCCCGTGGGAGCTACGGTGGCCGTGAGATGTTAACTACCTCGCCTGGTGTACAGGAGGTCGTGGGTTCGATCCCGACCCTGACCGCCTGTATATTTGGACTTAGCGGTGTCTCTCTCCCCGTGGTCGCGTGGATTTTTCTCCGGGTCCTCCGATGTTTCCCCTCCACGTGTTCCACACTATCGGGCCACTTAGTGTGAGCTATCATTTGTGATTCGCTTCTGAAAAAAAAGCTATACAGCTCAGCGGGCCTTACCTGGCACAAAAAAAAGTTGAGTTCAATACTTTACTCTCGTCCACGTTTCGCCGTGTTGCAAATGCGGAGTCGTTCGTAAACCCACGCCAGTGCCGGCAGAGGGCGGCAGAGGGCGGCAGAGGCCCCCAGTGGCGTCTGAACGCCGCACGCGCGGTGAGGACCCCCCCCCCCCCCCCCCCAGTGGGCGAGACCGAGCTAACTCCGGGGCTGGAAACAGCATTGGGACCTTTTTTTACCAGTATCAAAGTATGAAAAAACAAGGTTAGGTTTTCCCCATTTCTGGTAATAAAACGGGTTGTTAAGATGTTTAAGCACCAAATGGAAACCTTTTTGGCGTTATCTGATCTGACAGTGGTGAGACATTATCAGAGGATGTCCTTGTTTGCATGTTCACCAAAAGTACGCATGGCTAATACAGACACGATTCCTTGCAAATGGTTTATATTAGGTGTTTTAACATCTTAACACCCGTTTTATTGCCAGAAAGGGTAAAACCTATTTTATTTTTTGTCAAACTCCGGGGTTGTTGTTATCGCAACATTTCCGTACGAAGCAAGCATTTGTTTTATTGTACCAGGTAAGGCTCACTGAGCTGCTATATAAATGTTTTTTTCAGAAGCAACCTGACCCCACAAATGATAGCTCAACGAAGTGGCTTATTATCATCTGAACATTTATAACAGTAGCCAAATAACTCTTAAACGCGTGATGTTGACTCCAAATGTGGAGGGAAAAAGCGGAGGACCCGGAGAACAAAATTTACACGACCATTGGGAGAGAGAGGGACACGCAAACTCCAAATATACAGCAGCAGGCGCCAGGGTCGGGATCGCATCCATGACCTCCTGTATACCAAGCGAGTTAGTTAACATCTCCTAGCCACCGCGAATCGTGAAGGGACTCTATAGGAATCTAGCAGGGGCAGTGAGGGTGGCGTGCAGCCAGGCCACACGGTATCGCCCTGCCCAGACGGGACCCCTGGGACCTGCGGGGGTTCTGTTCCGTGACCTCCTTCCTGCCAGCGAGCCTTCGACGCTTCACGTGACGGCCTCAAAGTGCACCTGGCCTGGCACAGGCGTCGTGGTCACGTCACCGCCACTTCGTGGTTGTGGTGTGTACGAGTGCCTGTCTGCGTTTGTGTGTGAGGACAAAGAGAAAGATCCACCCGTGTAGCCTCAACAGACTGTTGGGACAAGTGCTGTTAGCGGGCAGCACCGATGAAGGCCGGCACGGCACGCGAGGCGGTGGGTGGCCAGCACCACGCCCGGGCGCCTTTGTCTCCCCAGTGGCGATGGTCCCACAAACCCTCTAAGTGCTCATTTGAGGCTGAGTCGACCTAGTGAGATAATCGTCACCGGTGTTGGCCACGCTTCACCGTGCTGGTGAATTTCGGGTCGGTAAAGGTGAGGCCCGCACAGGTAACGCTGTAGCGAGATGTTAACTACATCGCCTCGTGTGCGGGAGGCCGTGGGTTCGACCCCGACCCTGATGGCTTTATATTTGGAGTGTGCGTGTTCTCCCCGTGGTTGCGTGGATATTTCTCCGGGTCCTCCGATTTTTTTAACCTCCACATTTATAATCAGCATGCGTTCAGCGCGTGTGTCTGCTGTAAATGTCCACATGATACGCCACCTCATTGGGCCATCATATGTGACCAGGTCGCTGATGAAAAAGAGCTGTAGAGCTCAGTGGGCGTTACCTTTTCAAATACAATCAGTATCAGTCTAGTTTTTAGTTTTGATATATTACCGCTGATGTTGGCTGTGGCCCAGAACTCGTAGTGCAATGCGCTAACCATTGGCCCACCGATCCACCCTCAGTGTGCGTACACAGTGTTCTAATTGCTGTGTGGTAGAGTCAATTTCCTCTGTAAGTGTGTGTGTGTGCGCTCCGTTTGAATTGCTTTCTATGTATGTGTTTAAATTGCAGGGTATGTGTATGTATTATAATTACTGTGTATGCCGCAAGGCATGCTTGTTATGACCATGTACACGTGTGTGTGTGTTGTGTATAAATACAGTAATGCCCGTGTGAAGTCGTGGCATCGTGAGTTGTAAAAGGCAAATCAGTTACTCATTACAGTCATTACTAATTCGCTTTGCTGCTTTGTTAATCTGTTGTGTGATCCGTGGGACTGCAAAAAATACTTTGTCCTTTAGAAAGCAACCTGGTCAGCGAGGCGTTTGAGGCATCCCGTCATTCTATCATCTCTAAATGAGCAGTCATACAATTGCTCGCACGCGCGACTACTGGTGGAAGGGCCCCCCTCTAAAGGCACCTCTAGAGAGCCCCTCTAAGAGGGTGATTGGCCTACTCTTTCGTGCATGCCAGACGTCTTGAAAGAGCCTCCACTCTGTATTACTGGCCTTAGGTACGATACAGTATTATATTATATGTTCGTTGTAAACTTATTCACCGCTTAGACGTGGGTGGACTGGGCTGAATTAGACAGAACAAAAATCGTGTATACCAAGAGTACATTTTTGTGCTGCAAGTTAAATTCCTGGGATGGTCAACGTTTTACAGTTGTATTTAATTTCAGGTGGCACCTTGGGATTCAAACCCAGAATGTTGACATGTTTGACATTTCAGGGCAGTTCGTACGATGCAGCCTTCGGCCCTTGAGGCACAGGCTGTGGACTTCTCTAGGAGCCACGTGCTCACGCTGATATTGAGTGAAAAAAAATGAGCGGGCACTTAGTTTCAAAGGCCTGCACTGTTCTCTGTTAGCTTCCAAGTTTTAGAGCACCGGGTGAGGTCGAGGCATCGCTCTAATCGGATGACCAAAGCTGGGTGCTGGTTACCCTTCATTACTCCGTTCAGGTTAGCTTTCAGGTCTTTGTCAGTCCACTGCTAGATGAAGGCCACTCCGCGCCGTGTCGGTCGTGGCCGTTGTTTGACCATACTTCACCACGCTGGCCGTGTGCGTTGGTGAAAGGGGGCGCCCAGAACCGATCCAGGCATCGTTTATCACCGATGACGCTTTGTCAGAAACGATTTCAGGAAACTAAATTAAAAGTTACTTTAATAACATGGTACAGAGCATGGGGGGTTACAAGAGATTACTTTGAAGAGCTTCAGTTGTAATAATATTCTCAAAAGTAACTCTCCCGACACCGTGGGTGTGCGAGTGCAGGCGTTGTGTACACCAGGGGTGGGCAACGTCCGGCCCGCGGGCCGTATGAGGCCCGCGAAATCATTTGGTGTGGCCCTGCCAAGGCAACCGCAGGCGGGACTCGAAATTCCATACATCTAGGAGCAAACCTGGAAAAGCAGTTGCGAGTAGCAACATCGTCAATACCAGCTAACATCATCACACGCCTCACTAAAGAGAAGCAGTTCCAGCCATCACATTAAGGGGCGAGTTAATTAAATGTTTGACCAAATATAACAGGCTAATTTTAAAGTTGATAATTTTGTATGGCCCGCGAATGATGTTATAAATATCCAAATGTCCCTTGGCAGAGAAAAGGTTCCCCACCCCTGACGTACACCAAGAGTGAACCGTGAATCTCGGGCTGCGTCAGCAGCTGGGGTTCTGTTTAGGAGTTGGGCTAATAATGCTCGGGGACTTTTGTTGGCTAGTTGTGTTCGTGTTAAAAAAAGAGCTACGGTTGGTCTCGGATAGCTGCGATTTCTATCTGCTGCATTTCACTCGAAGTGATTTGGTTCCTTGCGGCGACACTCGCCACTGCCGACAGACGGGGACTAAAAATCCTGCCCCAATTTTGACTTCTTTCTCAGCTGGCTCGAACAAAATCAACTTGAACCGGCGTGCGCACCGGCCGCTTGCCAGCTCGCCTCTGCCCTGCGCTACAGAGTGGCGGGGTGGCTTTCGCCACGCTCGCGGTGTTCACACACTCGCCGGCGTGGCCGGGCGAGTGTGGCGCGCGTGCGGGTCCCACCTTGGTCTCCCAGCGCTGGTTCAGGTAGTAGATGCAGGTGACGCAGCGCCCGTCGCCCGTGGGGTTGTCCACGTGGCGCACGTAGCCCGTGCCACGGCCCGGGTAGCACGCCACCATGCCCTGCACGCCGACGGCACGTGCGGACGCAACGCAATTAGTAGCACGGTGCGGAAGAAGTTTTCACGTGCGCACATCGTCATCACGATCCGCGGGCGGGTAGCCCGCGGGTGTCCGCTAAACATTTCATCACGCGATTCCACTTTCCTCTGCCCTGTGCCAATATACTCAAGTAATGCCACATTTCTGGCACCAATCTCTCACGTCGTCGTCAAGCCGTTCTCTGTTAGGTCTTCCATTTTTTGCGAGGAAGTCAACGGTGGTTGTCCTGTCGATAAAACTCCCCCCTCCCACCACCGCGATACTGGTTCAGCCGGGCTATAAACGGTATATGAGCACCAAAGCCTCAATGTTCATTTGAGCAGCAGCAGCAGGAGATCAACTTTGAATAGAGACAACGAGACCACAATCGCGGTGTCCTGACGCTCATCTCAGACCAGGGGAGAAGCGTTGGTCCGGAACGCGGGGATACAAAGGCGGCCGTCTTATGCGATGTTTACAAATTTGGCTGCACGACACAGTCGATGTTGAACAAACTTTAAACACCGGTAAACCGCGAAACAGAATGAGCAAAGTGACGCTCTGCTTTAGTCCATCACTCCGTCCGACGTCTCAGTCACAACGATGGAGCCACCTCTCACGACTAAATCTGAAATGGAAATGTGCTAGTCATTTTGAGAAAGTCAAAGTGTCACTATGCTCAGGCGATTCTCAGGCAGTACTGTTCTGCTTTTGGCAGCCTTGAGCCAATCGTGTAAATTCCACTTTCCTGTACAGATGTACACTGAACTTCTGTCGCACCGTACGTAGCCAACCGTGCTAATCGGAGGTGCGGGATTCGACTTTCCTGTGATAGACAGCAATTTATTTTTCTTTCGCATCGGACAAACATTGTTCACTTCCCATCAAGTGGTGTTCAATTTATCATCCTCGAACGGATGATGATGATGATGGGCCAAGTTTAACGCCCACTCAGAATTTGAACTTGAGACCTTCTGACTGAGAGTCAGGGCACAGTGCCACAGCAACATCCGCACGCAAGTTGTGTTCTACTTCGAGTGCAGTGCTTGCACAAATACCATTCTATCTCTCATGCCTTTCCGAATCCCACTCGTTTCCGAATCCCACCTTAATTTCTCTACTCATTTCACAGACACAAAGTGTAGCGATGCAAGGCAGACAACAGACACCCCTCGTATCACTTTGAGGTCGGGTATTGTAATTGAAGGGGGCCCATGAATACTCCACAGGTGAATATTTCACTTGATGTTCACAATATACAATCCGATCTGCAGAATACACAGACGCACTCGGTAATGCGTTGTGTGTAACCAATTTACTGTGCTGTAATATGTGCACCGTACGCAATATATCGTCCATCAGAGACGGGCTAAGTTACGGCATAAAACCAAAATTAACCTTGACCACCGAACCCGCTCGTGAACAGTGCCAGCCTTAATTGGCGCTCATCAAACAGGCAGAGCGCCTCATTGTCGATACTGTTGTCGAACAGGACTCGTTTAGCCAGGGAAGCCCAAGTCTCGGCGGTGTCGCACGACCGTCCTGCCGAAGGGTTGGCCGACGATTTTGCTTCGTGGTCTCAAAATTAGGTCGTTATCCTTTTTTAGAATTCCCTCTCTCTAAACGTTGGCAAATTTGGACCGTGACGCCGGCACACAATGGCCTACGTGCCCCATTGCACACCCACGAGCAGTGGTTGGCTTCATGCGGTAGCAAAGGAAGTTCAACATACGTGCATAAGTTCCCCGTTGAACAGGGCTGTGAATGGGATGTGTGTGTGTGAAAACAAGGAAAGATTTTACCCTTCTTGTTAATAAAACAAGTGTTAAGATTTTGATTTAAAGCTTTCGTGACTGCAGTAATTCATATTCTTAGCTCTTTCGGTAAAGTCACGTTGAAGGGAAACAATAAAATAATAAAATATATATAACAATAAAAATTCTCACGACGTTTTGACCACAACACAAACGGTCGTCATCAGGTGTGTCGGTTTGCATTATTTTTTTTATTTTTAAACGGTGTATTTATTTACTTATACAAAAAACGTCAGCACCACGCGCAGCGATTTGGCAGTTTATTTAGAAGGACTAGTCCATCTATGTTCTGAAAAGAGGAGGGGGGGAACGAAAAATTAATGTATGCTGTCTGAAAGCCACTGTAAGCGTGAACAATCAATTAAGACCTGAAGTGGTTAATCAAATCTTTCCAATGATTGCTAAGCCAGAATCCATCTTCTCGGTTGAAACAATTTCAACCGAGAAGATGGATTCTGGCTTAGCAATCATTGGAAAGATGTGATTAACCATTTGAGGTCTTAATTGATTGTTCACGCTTACAGTGGCTTTCAGACAGCATACATTAATTTTTCGTCCCCCCCCTCCTCTTTTCAGAACATAGATGGACTAGTCCTTCTAAATAAACTGCCAAATCGCTGCGCGTGGCGCTGACGTTTTTTTTTATAAAAAGAAAATACACCGTTTAAAAATAAATAAATTAATGCGAACCGACACACCTGATGACGACCGTTTGTGTTGTGGTCGAAACGTCGTGAGAATTTTTTTTATATATATTTTATTATTTTATTCTTTCCCTTCAATGTGACTTTACCGAAAGAGCTAAGAATAAGTGTTAAGATGTTCAAACACCAAATAGAAACCTTTTTGCAAGAAATTAATTCTGCATTGACCACACGCACTTGTGGTGAACATGCAAACAAAACATGCTCTGATAATTAATATATGGCATTGTCTTTTAAACCGATTGGCCTAACACCAGAGCCATCCTTCTTTATGGCCTAGTCTCACGAGTGTCGGATCAGAGAACGCCAAAAGTGCGAACAGTACCGGTGATAAGTGTGTGTGTGCGTGTGCTTCTGGTGAGGTTTCTCCGTCGTGGGGAGCGATAGTGTAGCGGTTAGCGCGCTGCGCTATGAACCCGCCGACACGGGCTCGATTCCCGCTCACGGCCAACACCAGTGACGATTATCTGAACCGGTCCCGGGCCTCCCCTAGGTCGACTCAGCCTCAAATGAGTACCTGGTGCGTTGTGTAAACATTGCCACTAGGGAGACAAAGGCGGTCGGGCGTGGTGCTGGCCACCCATCCCCTCGTGTACCATTCCGGCCTTCATAGATGCTTGCTAACAGCACTTGCCCCTACAGTCTGTTAAGGCTATATGGGGGATCTTTGTTTTTTTTGTTTCTGGTGAGGTTTCTCCGTCGTCACGGTGTCCACTCGCTCCTACCTGACCTCCTACCTGACCTCCTGACCTCCGTCCTGACCTCCCAACCCCGGAGGCGTCGAGCTACCCCACCCCCACCCACTCGCGCGGTGTGGACGTGAAGGCAGCAACGTGCTGCAATGGTGATGATGAAGCAGCAGCATCAGCAGCATCAGCAGCATGAGCGTCAGCCCCTTCCCTGGGTTGGCAATCTCGCAGCACTCTTAGTCCACAAATAATCACCATCGCTTTTTTCAAACCGAGAAATATCGAACACCATTACCCTCGAAGTTTATTTTAAAATGTTTACTATGAAGTTTTACTAATTTGCAGAACCACCCAATACGTTCACTTGCACGCGCAGGCCCAGAGATGGCAAACTTTAAATGGCCGTGACAACAGCGCGCATAATAATCTGGGAACGTCTCAACTCTGAGCTGTAGAAGAAGAAGTAAAATGCATAGTTAGAGTGTAATCAGCAACAGCTGCCTAAGCAATACAACGTCACACAACTTAGACCGTGCACCTAATTCGGTCAGCCACAGCTGTAGGGGCTCATTGTGTAAAGACAACAACAAAACATTGACACAACCGAGGCATGCACTCCTAGAGTGTTTTGTTGGTTTGTTTGTTGTAACTTACTGACCCGCCCCAGACTGGACGTCTTTGGGAAAAAGAGCTTCATAGCTCATCGGATATCTCAAGGATAAATAAATATTCAGATTCTGAAAGATTCTGATGCACAGCCCGCTTGCGTGAAAGAGTCCCTGTAACGGTCAATCCACTGCTGGATGAAGGCTTTCCCCCAAAGTCGCCGCCACATTCCATGAAACCGCGGTGACACGGACAAGTTGGCACCTGCACCCACAACTGATCTCATCACTCCGTCTCCCCGGCTGGACGTACACTCGGGACGCGTTCCATTTCTCAGCTCCCGCTCCGTTGCTGTTCTTGACCACCGGCCACCGCCGTCCCTTCTCGCCGCAACGCGCTCTACCCAAGCACCACTCTCCTGAACGGATTGAACGGCGTCGTTAACCTGCGTACATTCTAGAATCCGCGCGTTCCCCCTTTACGAGCACGCGTCACTCCACGCTTCTTCAACGGATAGCGAGTCGTTCTTGAATAACCATCGGGGTCGGTAATTTCTGAACGAACAAAGCAACTGCAATGTTGTGCCTCCATGGCGATAGCCCAAAATGGCATACAAATGTACGAATCGTCCTTCACCACTGTATAGGAAACAAGTTTTGCTGGCTGGCTGGAGGGATGAACGGAGGGACACATCCAAAGGACGTGCGCGGGCTTGCTAGTTGAGATTTTAAACACCGTTTTGTCGCTGAGAAAGAGAACGCATTTTGAGTCCGCGGGCCTAATAGAGGCACGAGGTTGCACCGTGGCCGGGTCGCACATCGCTCTCCACGCACCTCTTGTTTTCTCGCTGCTGCACCCCCCCCCCCACGGTCCAACCTCGCTGGCCGCCGGGCATTTCAAACAAGCGTGAGTCGCTTTAGTGATGAGTGAACTATACAACTAAACTTTAACGCCCACAGAGCTATGTTGCTCTTTTTTCAGAAGCGACCCGGCCACATTCGAGAGCTCAACGAAGTGGCCGATCACGTGAAAATTTAGAGCAGCCAAATATGCTTAACGCATGTTCCTAAATGTGGAGGGGAAAAAGACGGAAGGCCCTGAGAAAAATACACGCGATCACGGGGCGAGAGAGAGAGACACGCAAACCTCAACTATACAGGCGTCAGAGT